TGTTGTCATCATAATTATTCTAGTACTGCGCCGGTTGACCATCTTTGAGCCCGTGTTATCTCTTAGAAAGCCTGTCAACAACAAGTTGCTTAATGTTACCCGCGGTTCAAACCATCCTCCCCCAAGACCCCTATCACTCAGTGTTCAAGATTTTAGTGGTTCAAAGGAGAGGAGTTTTTTTGCGTCGACTTAAGTGGCCTCATCAATAACAGGCTAAACTTGTTTTCCAGTCGTTTTCGGACTGTTCCTTATGCCTTCAAATACCACTGGGACTTCCCTTTTTCGGGCAATCTATATTTTACCAATCTCTCTTACAAAGCTATGTTATTTGTCAACCTTCTCTCTTCTTTTTCCTTGACCCCACGTTGTCTGGTCTGGAACTGCGATGAAAATCGTATGACCCGCTTCCTCCCTAGATCTTGCTTGTTCATAACCACCATTTCAATTACTAACATCATTGTCATTGTCATTTGTCAGCTTTTATTCTATCCGGAAGGAATTATTTTTTTAAGCTTTTAAAAAAAAAAACAGCAACATTAATAACCGCAAAACGAACAAGCGGACATAAGACGAGTAAACGTCAATACGAACAGAGAAACAAATGCAATTAACAAAAAAATCTACAGACATCCTATTGAGTTGTAATAAGACAAAATTAATTTGAATGACTAATTTAATAATTCAATAATTTTAATAACTAATTTAATAAGGTCATAATTTTAATAACTCATTTTAACAACTATTTTAAATGACGATTTTTAATGATAATCTTAATAACTTGTTACAGTTAGTTCGAACGAGACTGCGTCTCCTTTGTTTTAATTAAATTTACTCTTTTTTTTTTTTCATTTCAAAAGTTTTGGCGCTTTCCCCCATTCCTTGAAAAATCTACTCATTAGATGAATAGGTTCCTACGCCGAAATTACTCCGCCTCAGTCTTCATTCACTTCATCGTCATCATTAAAAAAAATGTTTGAAAAGGGGCAAGACAAATTAGTTTACTTTTAGCCATGAACGAAATAATCCTGAACGTTGGTACAAATTCCAAAGTTAGCACCAGTTTGACGTTTTTTCTGGTCTTACTTCAGTTATATATAAGGAAAAAGTTGAATGACGTCATTCACCAGCAGTTTTAAGCTCATCATCACCATAAATTAATTTCATGTGTGCGTTGAAAATTGCTTAACATTATACTTGAACTTTAGAAAAAAAAACATCATCAACGGGAGAAACCTCACCATAATTGAGAAAGTTTTACGTAGAAAGTTTTTGATAGTTTTCTTAAAGGTCGTTTTTCCAGGTCGGTTATCATAGATCTCGTGAACGTCTCTGATCCAGAGCCTAATCCTACTGACTAATTTTCATTACCACTTACACCACATACAAACTGATCTGGCAAGCTGTGCATTCCCTTTAGTCTTTGCGCGTTTGAGTTTCGTGGTGTGTGGTAAGGTTTTCGCTTATCTTTATAAAACATTTCTTGGTTGAAATTCAGCCAAAAGTGGTAACTGTTCATAATTATGACCAAAGAAAAATAAAGACATTTTCTGCGTGAGTCTCGAGAATTGATTGGCCATGATAAAATTTGTTTGTCTAAATTATTCAGTAACAATTTAGTTGTGGAGACAGAAGTCATGTGAAACACATCAATAAATTCAAACATCCTCTTCGATGGTTTATCATAAAGAAACGAAGAATAAGCAAGATGTCTGCTGTTTGTATGTTAAATCGTCGAATGAAGGAAATATTGTATTCACTATGATTTCATTTAAGTTTAATAGCTACATCCCACGGTGTTATGGGAGAATCGAATCATTTCGATCGCGTAAGGCGCGCATGACAACCACAAAGGGAAAAAAAAAGTTTGAAATCCAGTCGATGTGCTGATCGGTTTTGCACATACTTATGTCCTATGTTATACAAGAGCTTTTAGCTCCGATTCTTTCCAAAGAGTCCAACTTATAAAAATTTAAAGCAGTTCCGGTGCAGTGGTGAGTGGATTTTCACCTTTAATAGTGGCTCCTCATAAGGTCACTAAATTATTTGGTAAAGGTAGTGTGAGTTGCGTCAGCGTAAGTTCTCATGAGGCATTATGGAATAATTGTCTCGATCGTTCTTCGACAAATATATAGTTGTACGCTTGTGATCAACGAGTATGCATGTTTTTGTCATGGGAAATGGCGGGGGGGGGGGGGAGGGGCTCGTATCATTCGACAAACTGCTGATCAAAATCTTGTTGTAGCTTTTTTAGGATGAAGGTTTTGCACGAAACAAAACAATCTGCCATAAAAGATGTATATTATGAGCCATCGAACCTGTAATACGAGGTTTTTTTTCTTTCGCTTGGTCAAATACAACTAACGCCTTTTTGTTTGCGTGTACTTTGCTGTGAGACGTGTTTCCTCTCATTTTTATTATTATTTTTTTTTTTTGGCTATTTTTACGGCTCAACTCTCTATTTTTGCAAACGTTCAGTCCATGATCAATTTATTCTCAATCTTATTCATTTCAAATGTTTTTTCTAAAAATTTAGAAAGCACTAAGAAGAGAAAGATTACGGTTCTTATTGTTATCACATATGCGGCTAAATTAAACTAGAAGTCAGTTTCTTTGGTAAATGCACTCTTCGTTGTTTTCCTCGATGAAAAATCTTCCTGAGTCTGTTTTAACGAAAGAAATTTGTCGCATGAGTCGTAAACACTTTTTAAGAGAAATCTTCTCTGGAGGGAATTTTCATGGCTTAACTGACTTCCCTTCTTTTCTCTCTTGCGTGAAAGGTCAGAGATTATTTTTGCCCAGGAAGAGATATATGAGAAAGGAAACAAAGATTACAGATAAAATTTTGTTTGCGTAGCTTAAATGGTTTTTCTTCATTGATCTAATCACATGACCCGACAACAATCTAAGCCTTAGGATCACCGCATTCTTGAACGATCTTAAAATTCCATAAATTTTGGTACACTTTGAGATAGGTTTTTTTACATCATTTTATGATTAAAGTCCTACTTAAGTGAAACACTGAAACTAGTTTTGAAATAAAACATTTCTTCCGACTATCTCCTATTTTGGTGTAACACATTTGTACTAGATTTCTCAGCAGCTGCCACTGACAGCAGTAATTAACAAGTTCATAATCAAGCTGTTAACGAACTCTATAATAGACTATGCTATAATTATATTTTCTAGCGTCTAAAGGACATCCGGAAAGAAAGCTATTTCCTCACAAAAATTTTTTTTGATAGCAAAATCTCTACGAGCAACTGATTCGTGATGCATTTAAAACGGTTAAATAGATGTTCATTTAATATTTGTCTTGGGGATAAGCCATCTTTTTCAATGAAAGTCGGTTCATTTTCCCCTTTTCGTGTGATAACTTCCCCGACAGCCGCATTCTCGCTGAGGAACGAAACATACCCGCATTTCATAAATAACATCGGTACTAATTGGATGAAGACAACGTGACAACTTAATTGAAAGTGATCATTGATCTTGAAGGGGTACGATGCTAATGTGGCATTGTTTATCATATGCTGGACTGGAATGGTTCTGCATCCTCAAGTTATTGTACAGTTGGTTAAAAACCGTTTACAATGATTAGCGCTTAAAGCGAGATCATGAAAGATCTTGATCAGCCAGAGGTGATAAAAGTATAACTATTTGTGGAAAATGATTTCTGCAAGAACTGGACTTTGATTGCAACACTTTTTGACCAGTTTTAATCAGGTCCATTGGGATCGCCATAAGGACTCATCAAACGTTACGAAAAACTTATGATTGTGACATATTCAACCGGAAAATATCAGTCTAGATCACGTTTTTGAAGGAGAGTCACATGTACGATTTGTGCTATGGAGCATAAACTTCTATGTCATTTTCCAAGTGTTGCTTGTAATTGGATGAAAGCATCTGTTTAAGTGTTTACTATGCTATACAAAGTAGTTCCAACATTGAATGACTTTGAAGATGAGGTTCCAATGTATCACCACTCAAAAGAAAACTAGTGAGAGGTATTTTCAGTTAGTATCATGGTTGAAATTTAATTTCAATAAATAGCAATCCAGCATAGTTTGCGCCTTTGTAAATATTGACTAAGTTAATCAGGTCAGCCGGAGGGCGACTTATTATCTCAAAACTGTATCGCGCGTACGACATCCAAAATTTGATTAAAACGCTGCGCCATTACAACCTCACGCTTATATATCACGATGTAAGTTTATGAGGTAAATTTTCGCGATATTTTTACGGAAAAAATTATGTATCAAGGGCTTCAAAAAACTTGGTTTACTGTCACTGCAAAATACAGGGTTTTTGGGTAATAGAGCTAAAACATGCAAAATAAGCCATGAATTGTTGGCATGATTACTGGAGATGGATTAGGGTTTGAGAAATTAAGAAGGATTGTGAGGTTAGTTCTGTATCAGGCTAAACGATCTGACATCTAATGACAGCGGTTTTACTGGGACAGATAAAAAGAAGCTTCAAGTCAGGCACTCAACGTTGACCAATGAAATTTGGGTAGGATTTCTAAACGATTGTTTTACTCCTAAAGCGCTCCCAATTACTGTGGTGTTGTTGGATGTTAGAATTTCATGGCTCTAATGGAAAGTATGGTAACATGTTGTCCCATCAGAAAGGGGATAATCGAAATAAATTGCAATCGCTGAATAAATTTGTGATATTTAAAAGCGTGAATTGGTTTGAAAATAATGAAACTTAATTAGATTAACATGCTAATGTTTCAAACACAAGAGAAATTTAAAGGACCATAATTCTTTCCAAAGATATTTGAATTAAAAGTTTCACTATTTGAGGATCATCCTACAAAAGTCGTTGAGCTGCTGAATGACATTATTGTTAATCGCAGGCACGAGGTTACAAGTTTATGTTAAATCGATGATGGTAAATATCACTTAAAATATCATAGCTAAATATTTTGTGTCCCATTACAGAGCGCTAAAAGTATCATTTGTAGTTACCAAACAACACAAATAAATCACCCATCGTAGCGTTTTAATCGAAACTGTAATTGTTACTACACCTCAAACAATATGTACATCAATCGAAATAAAAAGCGTCAAAACCTTTAAGATCTACAACTCGAGATGTCTTGTTGCACAATCTTATAACATGTGAAGGAATAACTTACAACACTTTGCGACACATATTGAATGCCTAAATGGTAATCATTTAGACTACAAAAAAAGTAAACTCGTTTAAAAGAGTCTCCAGAGTAAAGCGTTATCAATCATTGGCGGAAAAGAAGAACTTCAACATCCGCAGGGCCTCAGTCCAACCCTGTAATCTTTACTCATTGTGCATAAAATTAATGGATTTATAGCACTATTTGCATAAAGAAGGGAAAGACATGTTACCAAGCCAACGTTCACATCGGAAGTTCGCTCCATTCCCGTAAACTCCAAAACGAGTGCAAATGTTACATACGGTAGTAAACACAAGCTAAAGGCAAACACAATAACGATTAACATTTTAACGAGTTTTCGCTTCTGCTCGAGTCGCATGACTGTGATGGAGTTCTTGGCCGTATTGCGGTTATCATGTATTATTCTTACTTTCCACAACGCCAAAACAACTCTGATATAACAGTACCCGATAAGAAACAGTGGAAATGTAGCCAGACACGCCGTTAGCACTTTGTGAATTATCCGTTCCATGTTACTCCTCCAGAAAGGAAAACAAACTTTTACGCCGTTTTCTATTTCGACAAGTTTAAGAATGAAAGACGTGGGAATTCCTACGACAAGATAGCTAAAGATCCAAATGAACAAAATGCAGATTTTTGCTTGTGTTTTCGTGAAACGCGCTTTGAACGGCGTAACAACTGCTCGGTAGCGATCCAAGGCGATTGCTGTCAAGGTCATGATGGAAACGGTCAAAAACACATCGCCAAATGGAAAGAAAATCTTACAAGCAAGTTCGCCAAACGGCCAAGATGCAAGTTCTTGCAACAGACCGACGGGTAAACTTAGAACCAGCACAGCCAGGTCGCTCAGGGCCAAGTTCGCAATAAAACAACTGCTTGTTGTCTTAGATGAACCCTGTTGAAGAACTCCGTATATCACAATGGAATTACCGAAGAATCCAACCATGAATATAATTGTGAAGATGACTAACTGTAGAATTGCATGAACTGGAAGACTGTCCGAGTAAAAACTCTCGGCGGGCATCTCTTCAGGAACAGAGTCATTCGATGAAATATGAAATTCATGCGCCATCGTCCAATTCAGTTGCCTGTTTGTTATTTGATTAAATCTTGTGAAGATACAATTTGGTCCACACAATTGCGCCAAATACACCTCTAAAAGCTTAACAACGAACTCCTCGCCAGTAAAGACTGACTATTTCATTGCAGGCTGTGGTTATAGGCATTTACAGGAATGCTTAAATTTATCAGTCGCTGCAATCGGCGCCTCCGCTGTCACAGCTAAAATTTCCCTCAACTCGGGTAATTAAACAACTCGTCTCAAGCCGCCGTTATCAGATTGATCCAAACAGTCTACGACGAGGCGGAAATCGTGATTAAAGCCGAGCTCTCTTGAAGTACATACAGCACACCTTTAAGATTTAAGACTAAATTTAGTCAGAAACACCTCGTGGGCCAAGTTTGTTCGACAGTGAGTCAGTAGATACGCAGTTGACATTAATCACTGGCTTGTATCGACAATGAAGATTGCCAGAAATGTTTACATTACACAATAGTATTTTTCTTGAAATCCGACGCCTGGCTGTGTCTTTCTGCGATTCCGGGCCTGTTTTTTTACCTTTTTAATTCCTGGCTGTTGCAAACAATTCACACATCTTAACGTAATTATTTTCCACTTGGATTTTGTCATGCGAAAGGGCGCCTCGAATTTCGCTCGTGCGCAGTTGGTTACAAGTGTGCTCTCTCCATTAAAAGGATTCCTCTTTTAATCTTCATTGTTAAATCGCTTATTTTTGGCGAAATCGTACAGTTTTAGGGACTCTTGAAAGCTTCACTCTATCACACGCTTCCGACATGTCGGGAAGACACATTGGCTCCAATATTCCCGATGATAAAATGTTATTGATAACGAAGAAAAATAGCCGGAAATGCTCCTTTTGTTTCGTATCAGTCGGAATCACGCAATCCCTGTTCCCATGGATTCTTTCGGTGTAAAGGCGCAATTTTTTGGAGGATTATCCTTGCATAACATCAGCTTTTGATTTAAATCAACAAGTATTTTCTTCGTTAAAGGCTATTAACACGCCTTTTTTTATTCCAAAACTCAACCGAATCCAACTCAATGGGAACTAAAGGTTTGCTCCATTTTTCGACACTTATGAAATTTCACACCTCGAGGACATTTGGGTCATGGCGACAGACAAAGGTAGTTGGGTTTACCGCTAGAAATTTGATCTTGAACACGTTTTTTTCTTCTTCTTTTAGATGGTAATCCAAGGCTTGAAACGGCTACAGACAAACTTTCGTCTTCGAGCGAAACAGCGAGTGTACAAAGCATTGATCCATATCGGTAATTCGGCTTAAGCTGGCGTCTCCATGACTAGAGTACCTTGAACGTCCCCGCATTAAAATTAATTTTCCATTCGTCAAACACCGCAATAATAAAAGACTCATTCACGGTACATCCATTGAATTAAAATTCCAATAATGCCCACAAAGAATTAATAAAATACGGCTCCTCGTAATCGGAGAATATCTTGTTCTCCAAGCACGAAGTTGTTTTTCATTATTCTTGTAAATCCTAGTAAAAATCCTGTTTCCCAAACGCTCATATTTATTCGCCGAAACTTCCTATTGCGTGACATATTATTATTGATCTGAAGAACACAGCGAAATGAAAACTTTCAATTTTTGGTCATTTCTAATTTTCTTACTGTCGGAAATGTCTCAAACACAGAGGTTAGATTTTCAAAATTCTTGTAAGATTTTAATGTAGACAATATTACAAGACTGACCCAGTGTACAGCTTTAAAGTGATTTATTACAGTGGAATGATGCGAACTGCAATAACTAATTACATAAAATTGGTTCCTTCTTTTAATTAGCAATTATTCACTGAGGAAGAGGTTAATATTAGTGGATATTTACCAAGCCGCGAAGCGGTGATGTCTGCGATGTCCACAACTTTCAACGGCGGACACTGAGGTAAATTAAAGTACACCACACACAAACAATAAACGAACAATTTTTTTTCTTTTTTATGTCGATATACTGTAAAATGGTCGGAAACCATTGACGAACGATTTTCTCTCTTCGGTTGCTTACAGGTGAACAGTTGCTCGCTGATCATTTTCGAAATTGCTTTCAAGTGTGCGCGAAAAACACTACATGTATTCAACTGTGTCACGTTATATACTAATTGACGACATTAACACATTTCTTATCGATATTACGTTTTTTTGAAGCAATTTCGTTTCTTTGTGTTAATTTATTTCAGAATTAATTATCCAAATGTCTGGTTTTCATATGCTCGCCCCGATCTACGGTTTCATGAGATTGTCTGAGTTTTCCAGACCTTACACGACGCGATCCTTTTTTTCAGTTTGGATCATGTGGAAACCAGGTGATCGCCCGGGAGAGAACGTTTAGCCTGGTTTCCATATAATTGTCCCGATCGTTTGAGCATTACTTGGGACGACCTAATCTGTGCCAGGCCTTCCGTTGACGGAGATGAACGAAAACAGAGCATGCTAAAGCTGGAAAACGAGTTGACGTGCAGCAGTTACGGTTGTGATGCCCCTTTCCGCGGGTGCCATTTCTTGAGCACTCTGCACCTTTTTGCTCATCTTCACTAACTGAGAGCCTGAAACCTGCTTGGACGATCAAGGGAAACCCCAGAATCTCTGACTATGACTGGGTGGTACTGGAAAGCGATTGGATTTTACGCAGAAGGAAGGACTGTAGCCTGTTAGTTTGGCGAATTTTCTGGGGTTTTTGATCGCTCAATAAACATGGAGCCATCACACTTGATGTTCCGCCGCTCAAAACCTGCCATTCAACTTCTTATCATGCAGGCATTTGAAGAGTGAAGTGGCAGGACTATCAAGGAAGAACACTTTGGAACGTGCCGGAGCTCCTAACGTAAAAACGTTTTGTGTTCACACTTGGTACTCGCCAAAGTATTAGGCTTTAGCAGCGGCGCAAGATGGTTTCATGCTTACCTACTGGGTACCTCACAAAGAATACCTTCAGACTCACATCTGGTTATTCATCATGGAGTTACGAATGACAGTTTTTATGACACATAAGTTTCATGTTGAATTAATAAAGCGGGCCTGTGAGAAATGAGCGGCTAGTAGTTATCGGCCGTAGTTGATCTTTTTCCAGAGTATAAGATGCACTGATGTATAAATTAAGCTTGATGACACTTTATGAATAACTACAGAGCGTGCATTCTCTTCCAAGAACAAATGGCAACTTTTATACAGCATTAGGTTGTGGCTAGCTAGGTTGAACCTGTTGTAAATCTAAGCCTTTTACATAAGCATGTTCGATTGGTCAGCGGTAACCTGCGGGTCCACCTCCTTTCCTATGATCAGCTAGCGCCAGTATCTCACCGTCCTTCTCTCTGTAGACGAGTTGAACCACTCCAACGATTTGGAAAGGGGTTCCTGAGTAATTTAAATAAACAAGTGAATAAACAGATAGACGAATTAACAAATTCAGTCAAACCAGTAGTAGGGGCACCGTATTAAACGGTCGCCCTCTATTTAGTGGTCAGTTGTCAAAGTTCCTAATTTGTTTTCCGCTAATCATATAATTTTTACCTCTATTTAGCGGTCAACTCTGTTAAACGGTCGCGGTCACCCTTAAGTAAGTCCTAACAGCCTGTTTTTACTATTTTCCAAATGGTCACTGAAGGTGGAACCATTCCAATGTTACTAAGAATAATCTTTCATTTGTATGAAGCGGTTAACCTGTAGTAAGCGGTCACCACGTCATTCCCCGTGGGTGACCGCCTAACACAGGTTCAACTGTAAGTAAATTATCGAATGAATGAGAGTTAAATGAATGAGCAGCAGGAAGATGTACTAGTCCATAGGGTATGTATAACAATCCCCTTTGCGCACTGGAGTCCATGTGTATGATTACCCTTTGCTCACCATCTCATACCCAGGCCTCCTCTCCCGCAACTGCTGGTACAGCCACTGCTGCAGTAATACGTTTGTGCGTATACGCATGACAAGATGTTAGGACTGATTTTGACTTTTGAAAGGTTTTCGCGAGGCTGGGGAGTTTAGAGATTTAGTCAAGAGTGGCGAATGTCTTGTCGGCACGGCGTGAGTGCTGTGGAACGGTCAAATACAATTTAACACTAGACTTTCAAATCCGTTTTTTTGAAATGAATTTATATTTTCGTTTAGTTTATATTCCTGTTTAAAGACATTTATAGCTCTGGTAAAAGCAAAAAATGACCTCTTTTAGTACAGCTTTTGTTGATAATCGAACCACCGTTGTCAGACAAAACGCACAACACCTTGTGCTCCAGACTCTCAGCCGCCTCTCAACAATGGCGCCGTCGCTTCTAGTGACGTGTGCATAGAAAGTTTTTCCTGGTATTAAGAACATTAACATTAAAAAAGAATAAACATTAAAAAAGACTTCAGACTTGTTCAACATCTTAACACACCCTCTCGGAAACTGAAATAAATGTTTCTCTAAGTCGATTTCTCAGTTTTCGACTCGTCGTGAATTTAAAAATGCGTGCAACTGCGATATGTTGATTGTTTTTTGGGGACGAGAAAATCACGTTTAATGTAAAGAAATAACCACGAAATATAGGTTGAGCAAGATAGAGAATCATCCAAATGTAACTAAAGAATAAATGTTAAAATACTTGAAAGGGTGGAGGATGAAGAAGATTAAAGTTCAAGAATTGCAAATCACAGTGGGAAAAACATTTAAAAACTGTGACAGCACGGTAGACACTCCTTGTCTGGTTGTATTTGTAGCCAATCTGATCTGGTTAAAATTAAAATGGCCTTACACCAGTTTAGGCGAGTTTCTAGTTTCATTTAGTCAGTTTAATGAGGTTATCTGAACTTCATCGGTTGACATATTTTATGTGATCGAAACGACACAGTGAGTAAGAAAAGTAACTGTCCAAATGGAAACTAGAGTTATCCAAAATGATCCAAAATGGCTCAGTATGGAGCAGTTTGTCATGGGTTTTAAATGGCAATTGAAACATTGAAACACCGACCGTGATTTAACTTTCATTCGCAGCTGATCTGATCTCGTTAACTCGCGAGATGCTTTATTCAAAAAAAATCCGGCGCACAATCTTTTGTTAAGTCATTAACGAAGTTATCTTAAATCCATTGGTAAACTGAAATTGTTAACAGGATATTTTTTTTAAGCCACGGAAGACTATAAGAAAATGTCCACAAGTCATTTTCGTTTTTTCCTGGAGACTTAATACCAATGAAACGGATGAGTGAGGTAGAAAACTAGGAACTGAAATTATTCAAGAATGATTCAGAATGGTTAAGGACGATGCAGGGCGTCACGGGTTTACAATGACAATTGAAACACCAAAACCTAACCCTGATTTAGCTTTCATTCACAGCTGATCTGATCTTATTAACTCGCGAGATGCTTTGTTCAAGAGAAATCCGGTCTGTAAGGCGGATACAGCCTTCTCCTCGATCATGAATCCATTGTTCCATTTTAGATAATACAATTATTTGAACACTGCGCTCTACATGATTGGTCGTTGCTTATGGTACAAATGATCTGTCAAAGTTCAGATGCTCAACTGATGTCATAAAAAAAAAATTTTCAAGTTCTTTGTTTCTTTAACATGACGCACTATTTTAAATCATCGCAAGATTTTTCCTGATTAAGTAAGAGTACGACTCGAAAAAAGAATGGATCGAAAGCTGTTTAAGAGCTAACAGACCAAAATCATCCTGGTCTTAATTATTATCTATGAGAATATTTATCTTTTGCACAACTGTAGACGCAGGATAAGACTAAACAGTGAAAAACAGTGGCGTATATTGAACTAATTAAATCATCTGAATAAAACCAGCTCAGACTAATAAATCTTCCGTTTCCTTTCCCTCAGTGGAATCAACTTTCGTCCCTAATTGGCTATCTCAATTGGGAATTGGTTGAAATTTCCATTGCCCTGTAATTTATACTTTACTGGCGTTGCGAAATTCATTCATACCAAATAGTGAGGTATGATCTAATCATTTATCAGGAATCAAATTTCTTAATGAAAGAATAATTTATGTCATTGAACTGAACATATTCTTTAGTCAACATTAAGAGGACGGAGAGATGTATAGATGTCAGCTGGCCACGAGTATCATGTGTATCGTACCTAGAACTCTTTTTCCTGACTTACAGAAGTTAGTTTATATTTGGGTATAGCTTTTCTTAGAATTGTAAGATAAATTGGTATCTGATGTATCGGTTATACTGTATATGGGTAAAAATTAGATATTTCAGGATTATAAAGTCCTTTTTCCTTAGTCAGACAAAGCCTGATTCCTTTAAATCATTGGTTTTGCATTTGGTTGTCCTTGAACAGAGGGGACATCAGCCCTTAATGACAAGTGCTAAGGGAGGAGCGGGGAATCTTAAAAGTGATGTGAGTTAGGAAGTAGATAGTAACCCTGGCTTTTAGTGATGGCTGGGAGAGAAGACGGAGGGGGGAGAGGGATCATGAAATCTTCCACCGTCAATATGGTGGTTCAGAAAAAGCACCATATACTTTACGGGTGGGGACACTTAAATTCTCTGTTGTCGCGACAAAAATCCTCCACACCCCCCCCTCTCTCCCCACTCAGGCGATAAAAAAATTACCGGTCCCCTACTATCAGTGTTACCGTGAGTGGTACCGTGAGCCAGCTGTGATTCGTTTATACTGTACAATCGAGGATCAAAAGTCGTAAAATTGTCTTTCCTTTTCGCTCCTACCTGTAATTTTTACGGTGTCGTTTGTAATTTTATGTCCAAAGCGTTTAAGCTCGTCAATGTACTGTTTGGGAAAGTCTTTTTCGACTAGGACCAGATTCGGAAACAGTTGGCTGTGGAGACGAGACTTCGACACAGCGTCTCGTAAACTCTCTCCAAACCAAAAATGGTTCATCAGAACCTATGATAGCAAAGAAATAGGATACATGTATTCAGTTTTCTTTTCCCTAACATGCATGCTTGAGCCTTTAAATCGGAGCCCTGCCCGGAGCAAAAGACCATTTCGCTCACCTCACAATTAAAGATGAAAGGCTTAGTGTATTTGTGTATTTTAAGATGTTCCTGGAGAAGCAGGGGCTTAAGAAACGACTCTCCGTTAAAGTGAGAAATAAACTTAGTTCTCCAGAGACAAGTCTGTCAGGTTGTCCCGTTCTTGCCTTTCACGCTCCAAAAATTGAAATCAAAGTCAAAGAAGAGGAGAAGAAGGAGGAAATTGCTAGAAATACTTAACACAAAGAAACAAGCAAACGAATAAAGAAAACAAAGTATTTTAGCACTCAAGCTTGCAGCGTAATAATTATAAATGAAAGATTGATATTCGCTCACTTGTGCTAAAGCTGTTGCGATGTATTTTCCTCCGGCGGCTCCAAAAACCATTTTCACGTCCCCTGCTTCATCTAAGATGATGGAGGGTGAAGCAAGAGACACGGGTCTTTTGTAAGGTTTAAGTTCGTCAATCGCCAATTTAAATTCCTTTAATCTCACATTCTCGTAAGTGTCCAGCAGCTGATCGTTGTAAATTATCCCGAGCTTAGGACTTCTAAGTTTTGCTCCGAAACTGTAATTTAAAGCAATAACCTTGTTTTAATCACTGAATAGCTTCTGAGTTAGCGCTGTGTTAGTACAGAAATCTCGTGGCACGAGAAATTTGTGGTTGCTATGTTCCGCAGATTGGTGCCTTCTTTTCTACATGGAATAAATATTATTCTAGCTCGAGCGCAGTAGTTAACAGAGCAGACATTGGTTTCATACCCGGATTTAACCCCACAGACTTGTTAGTTACATCTAAATTTAAAAGTATAATTCCTATTTGAGCTCGACTTGGGAGAGCGCATACTATTCCTGTCGTTGACAGTCCCGCGGATTTTATGATTTCCCACGGATGTCAATCCGCAGCCAAATCGCCATCTTGGACTGACTGACACACATGGCATCGATATCATGTGCTGGGTAAGTGAAGTCCCGCGAGTTGACTCGCCTCTTTCAGGATGCCTGGGTAGATTTTTTGCAACCATTAAATTGAACGAAATGGTCACTTCAAATCAGAACTGCGAGCCACGCCACTGATCAATGTTTGTAGGTTTAATTATACACGGGAGTTTTTTTAGGCCGAGACAAAAACGTTAATTCCCTAAGGTTCTTAATGGGGGCAACCGTTAGCCGTAAAACGTCCAGAAACTTCAGCCGTTGGGCGTAAAAATTGACAAAAAAGTCCCAAAACTGAAAAGTTAAGCGTAAAAATTTTTCCTCTCGAAAATGTGTCATTTGTGTCATTTTGGGTCAACGGTAACCGTAAAATGGCCAAAATATGAACTGTTGGCCGTAAAAGCCATCACCTATTGAGACCCTCTGGCTAAGCCAGATCAAACGCACCTCAACAACACTTGATTGCTATGGGTAATTATTTAACGTTACAAAGTCTCTTAGTGTAAGACTCGGAGCAGGGAAGAATTGGTTTCCGGTGAGTCTTTCGTTAAATTAATTAACTCACTATTTATTGATTGAAGTTGTCAAGGAAACAGCATTTCCTTCTGCATCGAGAACAGACACGTGAGTCGTGCCATCTGTGATGTCGGTATTGTAGTTGATTGGTCCATAATAATCAAAAGAATGTGTCTCGCCGTTTATTAATCTGCGTATCTGCTCGCTTCTCTCCGGATCCAACATTTCCTTCACAACCTGAGACAGGGGAAAAATAGGCCTGGTCGTGTTACTGCGCCAGAGTATAAATAAGCTTTAACGTGTACATGTGGCTACCGCATCAAAGAGAAAAATTTGTTCCGATGTGTAAATGTAGTTACTGCGAAAGAGTACATATGGTAAATTTGCCTCGATGTGTAAATGTAAAAATATATAGGCCTGCAATCTGTAGATCAGGTGCACTAAGATGTAAATGGTCTCCTATGGTGAATATGACTCGATGAATTTACGTGATTGCTGCGTTGGTGTGTAAATTTTGATTGGTCAACTAAAAAACTACAGGTCCGCGATGTGCAGGTATGCTAAGCTAGGATGTAACAGTTCTGTAATGTGTAAGTGAGCAAACAGCTTTTCTTCACCTAATCAATAGATAAAGTCATGAGGTTTTATATAAACCTAAATATTAACAATCTTGCACATTCAGGATCTGAAAAGTTGACTGCACGTCAATAACAAATCCGTAACGACATTGAAACACATCGATTCTTTTACAAAATCTGATGTCTCACCTCTTTCACGTCTTCATCAAAGACAGGATCTGTAAGATAGGTCTGTTTAGCTGCCACGAAGTTGAATGCTTCGATCATGCGGTGATACGTCAAAACAGGATGATGCTTCATATCATTTGCACTAAAATTGAAGCCTGAAAAAAGAAAGATCATTTAGTTTGTTGATAACCTATGGCGTGAAACCTAAAAAATATATTTTAAATAAAACTTTGTTTGGCCGATGAGATGAAATCATTAACATTACATATGGAGTCACCATGATCTCTGGGAACATTACTCAAAGTAGGACGGCTTTCTACAGGAGTCAAGCTTGGAAAATCACAGTAGCTCAAGTCATCGTCACTTTTTGGCTTATCGTTACCTTGCAAAATAACTGATATACTTTAAAAATTGGCGGAGATTGAGATAGCTGGGGGAAACAGACAGAGCGGAATGCAATTAGCTACTCTGTAAGGCTATTAAACTTGAAAGAGAGCGCTTGCCTTTGAGAATATTCAAAATGTTGATTAATGCGGCACCACCTGCAGGGGGTGGAACGGTCAAAAGTTTATATCCTTTGACCCCAGGGAGAGAAACCTCCAACGGTTTAACTTCAGTAGCTCTGTAATCTTTCAGGTCCGTCAGGGAAATACAGGAGCCGATGGATCTGACATCTTTGACGATCTGCCAAGAAAATAGTCCTCACTCTTCTTAAATAAACTCAGTCACAGCATAAAAAATAAACTTTTAACCCTCCGAGAGATCAATCAAGGAACTGAGTCTTCTCAGTTTTTACACAATTCTCTCGAGGCAATTTTTTGATCACTTTCTTCATTAGACATCCCACAAGAATGTAGAAGTAGAACGCTAGAGAATATACCAGATATACAAAGAAAAAATTGTGAAGTGCCGAACAGATCAAAGCCTAATATGGATGTGGCGGGAGGCCGTTGCATAACAAAATTCCACAACCATAATATGAAAGAATAATTTTTGATGATTTATTTAAATATTCAACATTTACAGACTGCAAAATTATGACTTTAGACCTGTCGTTACCTTCTTAGCCATTTTACCAGTGTAGAAGAGATCGGCTCCTGAGTCTGCAATTTTACGAAGAGTTTTTCCATATTTTGTTCTCTTGATGACGTCTCCTTCTTTAATTTTTCGACCGTTTTTCCTGAATAACTCTCTGCAAAGAAAGCAAATTAACTATACTACAGGCGTTTGTAAGTAGCTAAACTCTAATCGAGTGAGGTACAATTTACTTGAAAGCTAGAGATTGGAGAATATTGCCGCGCTCCTTCCTACACTACTCTAAAGGCCTTGATATGGGCATACAACAGTCACTTTCGTTGGGAAAAGCATGACTGCTTTTTGACCTAATCTGATTTCGAGTAACCAACTTTCAAATAGACTTAAAACATCTTGTTTTCTGAAACTCACAGGGAAAATTCACTGAAAGGTGCAATGTTTCCTTATCGTTCGATCCCTTCGTGGGGAAGATAACTGACTTAAGAGAAAACGATAATCGCGGAGATGCCACGATATCTCGTTCGGTTCAAACAAGATATCGCCAGGCAGTAGCGATATCTCCTTGGATTCGATTGGATGTTAGCGATATATCGCGCGGCGGAAACGATAATGCGCAGCTGTTAAAACAATAGCCTTGCGATATTCCGCCAGAAATACCGTTCCTACTAAGATATTGTGTAAAAATCGACGATAACTCACGGCTTGCAATTTCCACGATAACGTCCTCTATTATTGTTTTCCGACTTAAGCAAAGTACTGTGTTACCATGTGCAGGACGCAACTCCCCTTTCAGTTTTGGCATTTGCTTTAGACTTCATTGATCTTCACCTATTTACTATCTTTTTTTTTCACCTTAAAACGTAATTGTCCTTTAAAGTCTCGTATCTGTGACCTTAATTGAAATAAAAAGCGTAAAAACAACATCCTGTCCCAACTTTCTCATTTTGAAGCGGCATTATGAGTCAAGCTCCTCTGGATTTAGCTTCTTATAAAATACTTAATTGAACGCCAAAATTTGAGTATACATTTTCATCTTTTTGGCCATTTTCGACACACGTTTTTAGAATAATTCCTTATGCGTAGAAGAAAACTTGCGGAAAACTCGCTACAGTGGTATAAAAGTCGGTTAAACGTCGGTAAGTTATGTTACCTCAATCCAAAGTCGTGCGTAACATTCAGCCAGTTAATTCGCACAGCATTCACGAGTGCGTGATTTGCCGGAAAGCCATTCGTTGCTATTTCGATAGCTGGTTGAAAAAGTTTTCTCCAAGGCAGTCGGCCGTACTTCTTCCAAGCCATTTCAAATCCACGAAGCTCGCCAGGCACGCCGATAAATTCTCCTTCGCCTGCTATATTTTTTTTCCTTTCTGAAAAAGTGGAAATCAAGTGGTTTCAGTGAGCTTCTTGAGATTATCGAAGCCCTCTCTCGCCGTGAACAAGTTTTGTAAGTGTGACATGTAAGGGGGAGGGAGGTGAGTAGCAGAGAACAGTGAAGGTGGAAGGTGTCCTAACTTAAACTGGTGCCCAGACTCTACTTGCATCATTACCCGCTGGGATTTAGCGTGAATGCCTTAAGGCAAGCCATAATGGACAAAAGTGAAATTCTGACAACTAATCGAGAATTTTTTTTGTCGAGTCGAGATTTTTTTGTCGAGTCGTAAATTTTTTATTGAGTCGAGAATACCTAACATGCCATGCAGTCATTTGCCGCCAAAATGATTAAACAATATAGCCGTCTGCAGATCTGTAGCTTACGTAGCTTTTGTATACATCGTTGTCGTTCTTCAGCGTTTTCTTTGGTTTTCGCCTATTTCCAAGGCTCTCAGAGACCTCCATTTTTCACTTGAAGAGATTTATCAGGTCTATGGATGATCACCTTCTCAGTGGGTTTCCACAGTTTGTGACTGGTAGCAATATCATCTCTTTGAATAGGATACAGGTATCTTTTCATGCTAATGACAATGCTCTGCGATACCCAGTAGCACATACTTGTGGTCCCCTTCTCGTCATACCATCAACCTATCAGTCTTAAAATGAGTTTTCATAAGAGTATAGTAATATATTCCGTCAAGCTTGATCTTTCAGCATTCTTTAGGAGATATAGAAACATATTGTGCCCTTGTCAACGTTACTAAGCTACAGACTGCCATAAAGAAAATTTGTGGTATGTATTTATCATACAAGTTCCTTCTTTGCTTTTTGCAAAGAAGAGTTTTTTATGTATGATGAATATTTTTTGCCAAAAAGTGAGTTTTTGAAAGTCACTGTTGACATGTTTGGGGATTTTTGGTGAGATGCCTGAAGTTTAATGTTTATTACAGGCAACATGGTCTTTGTTCTTGTGGATTATTCATAAAAAGTGTGCTGACAAAGCATATTGCATACCAAATATGAATTGTGCTGTCTTGCTTTCCTACCATTTCAAATTTATATATGAGTATTTTTGATGGACATGGCGTTATCCTACACTTGCAAAGAACCACTGTCCCTTCAATTTTGTGAATAGTGTTTGTAACAATAAATCATTTCATTTATTGCTTTGAAATTAACTTTCTGTCGGGCAGCTTAGGGTCAAGTTGTTCAAATCAAGGTTAATGCTCATCAGGGTTGAATTTTAAGGCGGCCGAGAGGTTTGACATAGGATTAGCGTTAACCTTGTTTTGAACAACTCAGCCAAGAACTTGTTTCCAGTAGTCTGTTGTGTGGGTAGTTTTTAATGTACAGCCTGTGGAGGATTTTTTCTCTCTTCCATAACCCCTTCCCACCCCTTGTCCAAAGACTGTATGTCTTTTGTTCAAGTCATGCTTGCAAATGAAGAATGTGTTCAATATGTAGGCTAATGGTTTGCCCAACTGTCCCAATAATAAAAAGTAATTCTGATAAATACAACAATTTTTTAATAACCATTCAAGCTTCTTCGATTACCATACCTCGGCCTCAAGTCAGTCCCTTTCTGGTTCTAGGAAGCTTTATTCCAATTCTCTACAATAGAATGGTTTATCACTATTATGCGAAAGGAAGGAAGTGGTTATTGAGGTACAACCAGTCTATAAGACCATGCTAGTTTTATCTTTTAATAATTTTAATGTACCAATTAAACGATTTAAAAATATGAACTATTTTTATTTAATTTTAAAAAACAAAAATGTCTTCAAAACTAACTGAAAGAGATCAAGTGATAATTACATTTCACTATACGAGAAGTTTTACTACTAATGTTACTTGGGCTGTTTATTTCAATGGAAATGAAAAAACAGCTTTTTGAACCTTCATAACAATGATTGGTATAACTATACCATAAAATTGCTTATGGTAATACGAGAGAGGTTTTTCATGCTTATTGGCAAACTTTGAAACAAACAAGTCAACGCTCTTGTTGAACTGCTGCTGGTTATTAATCATTGAATCGGACATTACCTTGCATTACTTTACAATATTTTAAGTCGTATTATTTAATAGTCAATAATACAACTGTAAATGATTAGCAATGGCAAGGTAATGTTCAATTCTATGATTGCTATCATCTACCATGGATCAGACACTAGGCGTTTTATGTCATCTGCTTGATTGTCAGTCAGTTGAATGGCGCTTTCAGGCACAGAAACATTTTTTTCTGCCTCGATACTGGCTACAGGTCCATGAGGATCAACACCATACAAGGAAATATTACCTATATCGATGTCATCCACCTGGGGAGAACAAACACAGAGTACCAAAGTGCCAGGGAGGACATGCTTGCCATAGTACGTTGACCATGGTGATTCCACCTGGGAAATAAACTCATCCAAAGATGCCATGAAGCTTCCTCTACTTAGCTCCTTCTGATCAATCATGATTCGAGCAACAATTACATTTTCAGCGCCCCTATCCCCTCTAACCCGTAATGGAATTCCAAATTCTAGTATTCCACCCATGAAGCATTGCAAGATTGTACCTGCTCGGTTGTTAGAGAAACACTTTATGTAAACTATTGCCCTACTATAACCGTCAATGCAGCCGTGCAAAACAAACCTCCAGTGGATTAACTTGTGATCTGAGTCAATGTGCCACAGTGGATTTGGTTTTTTAAAATTGTACAGACGTCGTTGAATTGTACATCTGCGCCTTATGGCGCGGTTCACAAGATCGATTCTTTGTAATGCTTCCCGGATTTTCCACTTCTGAACATAAATGCCGCGTGCTCTTAAAGCTCCTCGTACATACGTTTCAGAAGAGAAAGGTGTTATTCGTAAGATATCTCTTACATTTCAATCAAGTTCCTCTTCATTAACCTCACTGTAATCAAGAATACCAAATTGTATTCTTCTTCTGGACAGAGTCCCGGCACTAACACTTAAACACTTTGCAATAGCTGCCCACTGCATGCCAGTGCTGCGAAGTACATCAATTTGTTCTGCTGTAATGTTGTATTTTGGTCTTCCTTATGAACTTCTTTCGCGGTAAGGTACACTAGGTAACTCAGCACTGACTTGAAAAGAAGCAGCAAGTTTATCCCTGTTGTGGTTTTGTAGCTCCCGCAAGGAGTGCGAATGGTTGTCAATCAACACTTTTATCTCTAAAAATCCTTGAACTTTGGCGAAAACCAAAGAAAACGTGCGATTATTTCTACAAAGCCTTTCAACAAAGCCCAAATCGTATATGTATTCCATATTTCTGTCATCTCCGGGAGCTGTGCATTGTTCCATATGGGAAATAAAATCCTGTATGGACAACAGAAACCTCTCCAATTCCTCCACATTACCGTCAGCAACTTGAAGAACGACAACGATGAATAAAAATGCTACGTAAGCTACAGATCTGCAGACCGCCATATTGTTTGATCATTTTGGCGGCAACTGACGGCATGGCATGTTGGGTATTCTCGACTCAATGAAAAAATTTTCGACTCGACAAACAAATCTCGACTCGAGGAAAAAAATCTCGACTGGTTGTCAGAATTCGACTCGAAGAAATAATTCTCGACTCGACAAAAATAGTCTCGACACGAGGTAAAAATTATCGTCTCGATCACAAGATTCTCGACTCCATGAAAAAATTCTCGACTCCATGAAAAAATTCTCGACTCCATGAAAAAATTCTCGACTCGAAAAAAAAATATTCTCGACCGGCTCGAAAAAAATATTCTCGACTCGAAAAAAAAAATATTCTCGACTGGCTCGAAAAAAATATTCTCGACTCGAGAAAAAAATTCTCGTCTTGAAAAAAAATCTCGACTCGACCACTTTTGTCCATTAAAGCTTGCCATAAAGGACAACGACCCACCTAATGATTTCTTACGCCAATCACGGTTCTTAGCAGAAATTGCTACATGTCGCGGATGCATTTGCTGTGACTTTATTTGTATTTGTAGCAACAGATATGAATGAATTTGCTGTAGTGCCATTTAATGCGACTTTTCGTATCACAAGCAAGTCAGCGAATCAGTTGCAGATATTTAATAGCATTAATTTTCAGAATTTAGCCCCCAGAAAGCAAACGTGAAGGGCCGTATGGCGGGTGGGTCGCCGGCCTTAGATGCATATTTACCAGTGAGCTCTAATTTAAAGATTGAAGTGGATTAAAGTTATTCTTTACCTCTTTCTTTCCATTTTTTTTTAAGGTTTAGAAAGTCCTTCATCGTTTCAGCATTTTCGTGATGAGAAACCACCTCCCTAAAGTTGATTGCCGTAGTTTTCGCTGCAAAAAAAATAGGAACCTCGAGACAAAAGCCATCGTGCTACATTAATTCTCCTCAGTTGGCAGAAAATGTTTGGTATTACAGATACTCTTTCTAATGCGAGAGGATCACATAAACTCCGATTCCCTTCTTATGGCTCTTTTGGTGTCTCTTCTAAATTATCAAAAGCCTATCGGTGTGCACTTACTAAGCTTACGAAGTTTTAGCTATTGCATGATATTCATGCGCGGCATCCTTATAAAACAGGTCTAACTTTTACAACTATTCTTTTTCTAGTTAGAGTAGGTCAGTTTGTTTTATCCCTTAAACAATTGAAGTCTTTCACTGAATGGAAATGTCATGTAAACATTAAGTTTTACAAATACTACTACTACTAATACTACTGCCACTACTACTGCTACTACTATTACTACTACCACTACACTACTACACTACTACTTCTGCTACTAGTACAACTACTACTGTTATTGGCAGATGCAATCGCAGCACTTTGATCATTGTTTACAGTAACTCACCCCTTTTCTTGTCATGAATGATCATGAAACCTCCACCTCCAATACCCGCTGAATGGGCATTCACTACACCCACACACAGAGCAGTTGCAATGGCTGCGTCCACGGCATTTCCATGATGATCTCGTAAAATTTCAGCTCCACGTTCTGAACAGTTTTTATAATCTGCTGCAACTGCTGCAGTTTTGAACTTGACAGGCTCGGAGTACTTTGGTAAAAGCGACCTAGACGGAAGCGAAAGTTTTAGTCAACGTCTTTTTAGATAGAAGATATTTCAAGCACCCTGCATTCGAATAGCTAATAAAAATATCAGAAACTTATAATTTTTTTGCTCAGTCCATAAGATCCTTCCGTCGTCTGTGACTGGATTGAATGCGTCAAGTCTGAATATGTCGCTGGTAAAACTGAGGACTGTCCAATGATTTCCTCCATTATAACCCACCCACTAACTTCCATGCGATTCTATTAGCTTCTTTATGACACATGATGCAAAATCACGGGACAAGTATCATGCAATAACTCCCGTCTGCCTCGATGTTTTTCATCCGGGTATTTCCGTCGATAAGAATCAAAGCCTGCGGAAAATAGTCAGCTCAAGAGTTTCACCTTTTCATTTTTATTATTTTGCATAGAAGAATAAAAAAATCGTTTCACAAAGTCCATTGATAATATAATAAGAAAGTCGGTCGCTTAGGCTGTTCCAGAGAGTAGAGATAAGTTACATTTGCCCTCAAAGCTTCCCCTCTGTGCCAAATATTCAATTTTCGGACAATATCTCAGCCCCGGACATTGTCAACCGACACACCAGCCGCCTGAAGGGGTTTATTTACGAAAAGTTTAAGCTACACGTCCACATTCCCATCTCGTATTTATTTCAAGGAAGGAGAGACTTTTGTTATCATTTTAATACGTTAAGAAAGACGTTCGAAAGATAATGGCCAAAGTGACTTCTATTCAACAAGAGCTTTGCGCTTCTAAGACCGAAAAAATAATTGATCCTCCACGTATAAGGCTCTGTAAATTTTACTTTCCCTCCCCTCTCCCCCTTCATCAGCAGTGAATTGGCATACAACTATCTATAGCAACACCTTTATACTCTGTTGGTGACAACTGATCCCCTCCCCTTCCCCCCTCGTTTCACAATTTACACCTTATAAGTTTTCCGTAGCAGTGTCAAGGCACTTCTCAAATCTACTTGTCCAAATGCCGATGTGCCGGACTATTTTTGAACAAGGAGTTTCAAAAAGAAGAACGACATTTTCTTTTCAAATGGCTTGACAAATAATTTTACGCAAATATGTTTGATGGGAAAAATATTTCTGACTAGCGGTGGTCTTGGCTAGATTTAAAGTATGCAACGTGTTCTTTGATAAGTGCAATAGCCGAGGGGAAATTGGTAGTGTAATTACGGTTAATTTAACTGTTCAAAGGAAAGGATACAACGAAAAGCCTATTCTGAAATAAGTGATTATATATTTCAATGTTTGTCTATTACCTGCTCTGTTGCATGCCAGCTTTATTTCTGTGCTCCAGAGGCTCTATAATTTGCTTTCCAGTGCCAGTTGCGTCAGTAGTTCCCCCGAGGCAACACAATACGTTGAGAACAACCAGGCTTCGTTTTACAAAACACATCCTTCGAAAAATAACATTATTTTTAGCCCTGCACTCTGCCATTTGAATTGAAATTTGTTCAACTGAAAATCTGTGGGTTAAAACGCTTTTAAGATAATTTTAAACCCATATAATTTTTAGTGGGAAGCTGACTTAAAATATCCTATTTGTTAGTAATGCGTCGTTATGATTTCTTTCTTAGCCCTGATTGAGGTTTGTGAGTTATTTGCTTTTAAAACCACAGTAATTCAATTAATTATTCAGCAAGATAATGGCCTTTTAACAAGAACAGGTTGACAATATTCATTTCAGTTCATTAATTGAATCACATCCGCAATCGTGGAAAAACGCTTCGTTAAAACGGTCTAAGGCAACTGCTATGTTAGACGTGGGAAATCGGGGCTTTCTCTCTCTCTTCATTTCCTCTTCATTTTCTCTCTTCAGTCTTTTGATATGTGTTTTTGGAATTTTTTTTTTCAGAAATTATTTCGTTTTTTGAAAAATTTGCTTCTGTTTTTGTAAATTGAATTGTGTTTTAGGAAAATTGTTTTCGTTTTGAGAAATTAACCTGTGTTTTGAGAAATTGATTTATGTTCTAGGAAAATGATTTGTGTTTTGGGTAAAAGTTTAAAAACCACAGTTTTCAAATGAATAATTCAGCAAGTTAATGGGCTTTTAACAGGTCGACAATATTCATTTTAGTGCATTTACGGACGGAACAACGGCTTCTGACTGAAGGAAGACCTTAAGTCATAGAAGGAGTTGTGTTTCAACCCAATGTGGTGAAAATCGTACAAAGTTTAATAATTCTGTCTGAACGATGTAGTCACTTCCAGAGTATTGTAAAGATGTTATTATATACTGCTTCATTTTCACTTCACTTTGCTACTTTGTTAATAGGGTTGACTGGTTACACATCCGCCGTGATTGGTTGGTTTTCTACATGTCTACCTATCTAACAACAGAAGGTGCATCTGAACTAAATGCGCGGTCTCAGCCAAGCCTGCTGAGTAAAGAGGATTTGTAATTAGCGCAAAATTGACAACATTGTTATCTTGCCTTACGACTGATTGAGAATCGCTGATAAATAAACCAAATTAAGCACAACGGTCAACAGGAGCATTGGAAAATAACACCAGGAGTCAATGAGAACCCAAGGCGCGGGAAAACACGGGTGCCCCATTGTATTAGTTTCTGATTTGCATCTCATTGGTTGAAAAATTCGCCGGAGCTTTCTGGATCAATCAGAGAGCAAGTTCGAAAAAAATCCAATGAAAACTGGGATTACTTTCGCCAATCAATTGAACTTTTTTTAATTGCGAAACATATCCTAGAAGATGAAGTTGTCATTTTCAAAAAACAAAAAACTGAATTATTCACGGAAGTTTAACATATATAGTGTTTGACGAGGCATTTTTTTCACATCATTTTAAAAATACTAAACCTATATCAAATACAGCTCTCTTCGTGTTTATATGTAATACATACCGACACTTTTTTTTTACAATGGCTGTAGATATTCTCGTGCGAGAGCCATTGTCAATAAGGTTAAAGCTGACAAAAATAACCAACACGTCATATATATATCGCAACACTCAGCAATCCTCACCATTTCGCAGAAAAAATTCTCTCGTGAACTATGGACCGTGACGACTTTCCGAATTTTAGATCAGTAAACTTGGCTACATTTTTAAAGAAGAGCTTTATTACATACAGATTTTATACTCTACATATATGCACATGGGTTAATACCAGATAGTCTTTTTAGTCTATCTGATCCATTATTTTGCAATTCAAATAAAGCTATTGTATTGTATTGTAAAAAGTGGAGGAAAACATCCTCAGAAAAAGAAAGCCAGTTCTCGGTTCGCAACGTTGAAAGAAGATACTTGCTGATGCGATCAAAACAATCCAGGGTAACAGAAATCTATTAAAAATCATTTCTTACTGGTATTTTTATGAAGAAGTCATTACATAACTTATATCAAAACGACAACGGCAGCTCAAACAACAAGGCAATTATCGATCACATCGGGTGCATGTGATTTTCCGAAAACTTTGGCGCATTAAGCTGGCAAATCGACAATAATTCTCCATTGTCTATAACCTGCTGCGCCTACTGATTTCATTTTAGTTTTGGACCTTGTGACGTCATTCATATCATCAATAAGGTTCTAGAGAAAGGAAAACTGTGGTAGATTTGTCAAATGTACAAATATACAATAAACCACACATTTTCTCTGTTTACAGGGTAATTAAGCACGCGAAAACGCTTCTTCCCGAGTGGTTTTTATTAGCTGGTAAACCGATAGGAAGTGTAGCTCATTGCTTTTCTGACATAAATATGAGTGAAGTTTGTCAAAAAACAATGATTAGGTTATTTTTATTTTGTGATGAAGTCGCTGATTTACGATTTAAGAATAACATGAAGATTTTGTTCAAAGCCTTAAGTAAAGTTTTGCGCGTTCAGTATGTAGCCCTTTGATACCGAAACTTTTAGGTGGTTGAAAAGCACACGTGGTTCACTTCTCAGGAGTTTAAGCGAGGCCAGCGTGACCACTGTGGCTGGTTCTTTGGGCCGATAACTTAACAGTGTATGAGGTTTTTCTTCACTTCTCAATACGGTATGGTGGATTCATTGTTGACATTCAAATAGAACTACTATAAAAAAGATTACGAGTATAGGCTGTCACAAGGTTAGATTTAGAAAACTAAACTGCCCTCACGTGCTACCTACACAAGGCACCAGATCACCCTATGGTCACGAGCAGTCTGAGGAATTCTCACCAGTTCAAAACTTAAACTTTTTTACAAATTATATCCCAGAAAAGCTACGTGACGTATTTACTGTGGCAGCTGGCAGCAGCAGTGTTGAAGAGTGAGTCACTTTACGACGATTTTCCTCTACGAAGCACGTAAACAAGAAAGTGAGCTATTTTCTTATTATTATCAGTTTTCACAACATAATTTATGTTACGTTGACCGGTTATTCATTAATTTTTTTCACTTCATGTTATCTACGGTTAGTAAATGTAACGATTAAAAGTTAGTTAACGCTTTGAAACTTCGATCTAAAAAAATAAAACCACAGCAATTGAGATCGTGGTCATGCAAGCATTCAGTAAAAAGCTTTGGAAACTAAACAAAGTCCGATTTATCTTCATGGCGTCTGGTTTGTAAGCCTCACCATAGCCAACTGATGGGGACGCTCCCCTTTAGCAAATATCCTGCCTGTAAGCCCTTTGAGATATGAAAGAGCATTTTTCCTTGTTTGAATGAGATTAAATTGGATTTTGTTCAAGCTAAAATTTTTATTGATTCTGCAGATGAAGTGGTCCGTCGTCTCATCGCCAGCGCTACTGCTCCTGTATTTGGTGACTCTCTCTTCTGCTGAGGAAAGTAAAGGGAAGACACCAGTCGACCTGAAGGTTCCATTAACCTCGACTTTGGTATGTTGCATTTACGAATTCCCCTTTTTTTGTACGACATTTGTCTCCTTTATTGAAGATATTGTCGCATTTTGTACAGACACGATGTAGCATATCTGTATAATGTAAATGTTCTTTACAGAGCAGGTTTTGAAGAAAACCTCTGACGGTTGTTGTTTTTGTTTGTTTGTTTGTTTTTTTAATTGCTATTCATATGTTTATTTTTTCTAGAAAAGGATCAGGAGATTGAATGAGCGTGTTTTTGTAATTTAAGGGAACTAGTGATGTTTTGCACAAGCCATAGGCGAATGAAACGTGAAACCAAAAACATCACGAGTGACCACAGATCATAAGACACAAGAGCAATTCTAGCGATTTTTTTTAATTATTATCCTATAAAATTAGGTATCGACAATATTTTGTACGTCTTCGGTGAAAACTACGTGAAGAATTTTCCAACTGGCCGAAAACTGCTTGTGGTTTCTTTTGATTGGAAGAAGAATAAGACGCGAGTTTGCTAATACTGAGCTCAAAATGAACGCTGGGATTGATCAACCTGTATGTTTCGCGTGGCCTGGATCTATGTTCACTTTGTGTGAGATGCAGAGACAAAAAAGCTTCGCATATTCTTTAAAGTTGTGTGTTTGCAAACCTTTTTCTTTCCATGATGGGACTATGAAAATGATCGTAGACATCGGTAAAGGTACAAAATTTTAACTGTGCTGCACGAACCCACGAATTGGAAATAGAAGGTTTTCGTTAAAATTTTGTACCGTACGGGATGTCTACGGTCATTTTCACATTCCCACACAAATCAATGATTACATTGGCCCATCAGGGAGAGAAAAATGTTTGTCAACAAACAGTTTTCAAAGAGTGTGCGAGGCTTTTTTGGCTCCGCATCTCACGCAACAACAGCAAAGATCAACGCCGCCCGAAACAACATGCCCCTTAAGGGACCTGGTACACGGTTGGCCAATCTCAGCATTCATTCTAACCTCAGTATTGGTAAAGTCGTATAATGTGTAATGTTTTTAAAAAAATGTCAAAGTAAAGCATTATTTTTTCCTCCATAAAGGCCCCGATTGGGAGTCGGAGGAACAGCGTATGGCAATCTTTGTTTAATTCACAAGTAGGCATTTTTTATTAACTATTCATAAAGTGGGTATTTTGTCTAAGATATATTGAGTAAACCAATCGATCGATGAAATGATCAACACGTGCATCTATATTGCAGGACACTGCATCATTAAATGGTACAAAATGGAAAAAATGCCCGGATGGAATGATATGCTGGAGTACTTTCACGTGTTGTCCATGGAGGAGTCCTCGGATGTATTCATGTTGTCCTCTAACAAATGCTGTTTGTTGCCCTGACCTTAAACATTGTTGTCCGGAAGGGCAATCTTGTTCAGCTGATTTAAAGTGTATACCTGAGCACAGATTTCATTAATATCGCTGAAGGAATACGATGTTTCGGCATTTATTGTCGTTGGCTGAATACAAAGCCAATTCCTCTTTACCATGACAATCAGTCGGATAAAATTATATGGCGTTGGTAATATTTAATACCAGGAAATAAAAAAGTATACTTAAAAAAGAAAGACCGAAAAAAATTGAAGTATTTTGATGCAAATAACGTTTCGGTCATGAAATTCTTAAAGGTAGAACGCAGAGTCACAAAAGAAATAGAATCGCAAACGATAGCACAAAATATCTCATTTATTTCGTTAACAATTTAGATTCTCTGAAAGGCACTCAGTTGCACAAATGTTTATTTGACAACCCCAAAGCAAGCTGTCTGTAATGTATATAGCCACAAAATTCCAAAGTATCAGAAAAAATTCAATTACAGAACTAAATATTTGGCCACAGTTAGAAATGGGCTCAGATGTTGGCGAGCCTTAGACTGCCTCGAGCCGCTTCCTAGCGTTTGCGATGCGGGATCTGCAGAAATGAAGCACATGAGAAAATAGAAGATTTATAGTCGCTGATTTAAATAATCTGCACACGTCTTTCAGATTGACGCAGGTGGCATTGTCATTACAAAAAAAAAAACCAAAAAAACCGCTGTCAACTTCATACCGTGAAGCTACAAAACACTGAGAATAAGATAGGGTAATATTTCCTAGCCTTTCTAGTTACATCGTCTCGTATCTCACTAAGAAAAAGTTCAGAAAAATTGCATGGAACCAGTTCTGAGCTAAACGGACCTATCGCATTAGCGTCATGTATACTACTGCTGAAAAAAAGGTAGTTGTAATTTCCTAAGTTTTAGTGTATCATTGATACTAGTAACTGTTTTTAACATTGGCAAAAAATAGCTTGGAAAGTGTTGAAATTTACAGCATTTTGCGGCTGATAAATCGGAAAAAAAATTGTGGCAAAGCAATTTTATAAAAGCTAAATCTAATTTGTTGAAAATTACTCAACAGTGGGCCTTACTCCAAAATAAAGAAAATCCTAAAAGAGCGATGAAAAAGTACGTAGGACTTTTCGAGACCTTCCTCAAAGACTGTACCGTGAGATTTCCCAATAACATTGGCATTATGACAACGAGTGCCACACCACACCCACTATTTCAAACTTCTATCCGTTCCTAATAACATGTGTCAAAATCGTACGACTGCAAACGGGGAGAGTTGATGTTTGAGCGCTCTAATATTGCCGGTTAGAACTTAGGAAAAACTGTTTCCATCAACCTCAAATGCGGTGGAGGTAGACATATTTAGAGACTGCACAAGCTAAGTGGTAACATCCTCTTTAAAAGCAAAATGTCGAGACTAGCACCGTGATATGTATTGCCAAGTTGGGAATTACATGTAAGCAGGAGATTGGGGGGTTATATTAGCTGTTACTATCAATTTGATCAGAAGATCACTCCAGCTTATGTTGTCTTGTGCCCAATTACGAGGTTAGATTACGGTTGAGTTCGAAGAACTGACTAAGTGCGGAACTGGGCTCGGCATTTAATTTCTTCCGTCACCCATGCCTTGTAAGGATCGTATTGAAGGCCTTAATGTAATAACTGTCCTAAATGTAATTAAGTCCTAAATGTAATAACATTTGGTCGTAAATGTAATAAGCCTTAAGTGGAATCGTTTAACTGCGCTGGTGCATTGTTGTTAAAGCGGGCATTCACACCAAAGAATCCTCTGACCAATATTCATGGTATATTGCGGGCACGCTGATATCAGTCAGCGTGTATTTATAAACCGCATTTTTTAAAACGCTAAGACAGTTCATGCGATTATAGTGCTTGTCATTGAGTTCAGTCGTTGATGACACGCGCAAGATTTTAGTTAAACGTCAGGAGAAGTAATGGGCTCCTGTAAACGTCTATTTTGTGATTGGCAATCTGAGGCGGCATTTTCAGATTATGTACTGGTCAGCTGCTTCTTTGCATTTACGCTGGTAAATTTAAGTCACTGAGTATGTAATTTGATGCAGACTCATGCAATACCTTATTCGTTGATCGGATTTGTCGCATGCATTACAAGATCGAGAGAATGTAATTGTCCCAGTTATGTTTTCTTGGGAAGAAACATTATTTTGTCCATTCACGAATATATTCGAGAATTTGAAAGTAATAACCCTCTAGAGTGCTGTCATGAGGTCCGAATTGGGAAATAAAATGTGCATGCTCACGAGGTTTATTCAGGTAAGGAAAGAAATAAAATGCATATCCGAGCCTACAACCTGTCCGACCTAGAAGTCAGCGAACTCCCTGGTCCGAGTTTGTAATTTCGTTTATGACTTGTTAACTCCGTCACTGATCACAAAAGTATTACGTTATCACATTTTTCCAAAATCTATTGCACTTAAGGGTCTGAGCCAGTCATTTATGGAGAGGTATTGATTAGCGTACTCATTGTTTTGCCAGCTGTCATTTGATGCCAATTATTAATCAGTTTAATGGTTTGCAGCCAATGCTTCTCGACTTAAGTCTAGCAATAAAAAAAAGCGCTGATTGATATCAGCGTGCCCGCAATGCGACATGAATACTGGTCAGAGGATTTTTTGGTGCATCAGCTGTCACTTTAACATCTCAGTTTGAATGTCCGCTACAGAAACAATACACTGGCGGAGTTAAACGATTACATTGGAGGCTTATTACATTAAGAACTAAATGTTATTACATTTATAACCAAATATTCCACATTTAGGACTTTATTAAATTTAGGAAAGTTATTACATTTAGGACTTCAACATCGTCCGCTCGATCGACAGAGGGTCTCAATGGGGTGATAGCTATTAACGATAGCTTTTAAAATTCTGGCCAAATTGCGGCTAACGGTTAATATCTTTCCATTGTGCTAATCACAAGATCGACTTTTTTTCTAAGAATAACGCTTAAAATTTGTAAATTTTCACGTTTATCGTATAAATTTTTGGCCACTTTACGGCTTACTGTTAACCCCATTGAGACCTTCTCAACTGTGCTATTACTCCAGGCTGAACGCAGAATCTCTCACAATCCGTAGTTGGATCAAGATTTTTCCTTAAATGCCTATAATCAACCAGTCATATGGACAAACTCACGTCTAAATTCAAAACCTTACGCGAGTTGGACGCCATAGCCGCAGAACGAGCCAAAAGAACGGTCTTGGTTTCTTGATTTCGTTCCCCATTACACTGAAATTGTGAAACACCGAAAACTTTTATGTATCATATATTTTAATTATCTATCAGTAAATAAAGCTGTAAGGAGTCCCCTTTTAGCTTGCAAACCAATGATCACAAGCGATCCAAAGGGCCACTTTCGATATATCAAAATTCTAAAATGGCTCTGAGGCTAGGGGGAATAAAGCAAAAGAGATTTCGCCTACTTATCCTTACAATTGTTATTTCTACAAACTCAGTTTGTAACACAATCACCTGATGAGCCCTATCTACAAAATGGACCTGGGGCGTGACAATGTGTTCTTACAATTAAAAGTTCAATATGATTATCAATAACAGTGCAAGGTATTTACTTTAACTAAAGCTAAGAAAATACAAATAAAAGCAATATATGAAGCATTTTATAATCATCGACATTACGTTACTGCATTCCAGTGCACACTAGAACTTGAAATATTTGTTTTTCTGATAGCGTTCTTCAGAGTCAAAACATTGGGTAATTGCTTGGGGTTTCGCTATAGAAATCAAAGGGAACAAGAACTGAATTAGCGACTGGGTTTATTCTTCTCTATACCTAGAAAAAACGAAGGTTGTGTGATCGCTTCGTGTTCCGTCAAGTGAAAATACTAGTCAAAAATTTAAAGAATCAAAACTTGTATGGCCGAGATAGGAGGTAAGGAGGCGCGATGGCCATGTTGATACAAGCCATTGAGATTCGAGGATAACTCTTGTGAATACCTCAGACCAACCTAAAATTTTATGGAGACATGGTATTTTCAGCCGCTGCCCTCGGGCTATAGAGTGTTTCATCTATAAACCTTAAATTGAGTCCATTAGTTTCTGTTTTTTTGAGAAAAGATTAAAGACGCATTTTTTCAGACCTACTTATGATTAACTGTCAATTTACAACTATGATAAGCAGCTTTTTGCACGTACCGCGATATAGATTGAGTCATTATTACTATTATGATTGTTATCATCATTGGTTAACTAGCCGATTCTATAGAATCAACTATTCCTATTTTAAAAACACGCAAAGAAGATCAAGCAAGAAAAACCTGAACAACATTTTGCTAAGCTCTAACTTAAGAATGACTACTTAATGCTGAATAGACTCAATCGAGACACTGCTGTTTTTTTAAAGTTGGTACTGTATCATTACTGTGCCATAAACATGATAGTTCAGAAATCCCCTGGTCTTATTTTCATCTCGGTTCTCATTAAAGAGTAATGATATCCTTTCCAGTGAATCCAGTTCACTCCATCAGCCTCTGAGGAGTGACTGCCACGAAGATATAAACCATTGAGATTTGAGTGGTGACAATCCTTGTACCACCAGGCTCCTTTGAACGTAATGGCGCAGTTTCCACCTCCACTATCACTATCTTGATCTTTAGTGGTAAACGGCATACCGCGATGGAAAGCAAGAGAGTCACCAGAATTTCCTGACAAAACCAGCCGCACTATGAGTATTACGTTTGACTAACAATGAGCAGTTCGTAATTCAAGAGAAATCTTGAAATATCGGATAAGTATAATCAAACAATAATGATATGGAGTAAAAGTATTTTTAGTAATATCTATGATTCATGCCGAAGATTCTAGGGATTGAATCATTAAATATGATTATGCCAATAAATATGTTTGCTGAGGCAAGCATCAGAGTTGTAGTGCTTCGTCAGGTTAACTGCGCATTCCACCGGTGAATACATTTGCACCAATCAACGTCCGGTATGCGCTGTCCAGGATTGCATATCGATGAGCTGAGGTTACGCCCTTTTTCGTTTTCCAAAGCTATTGATGTAAAAGACGTTAAGCATATTTATATTACTCAACACTCTCCTCCTCTCCCCCCCCCTCCCCCCTCCTAGAATAGAATAAAAGCGACGAAATAACGGTTCTACCTGAATAAGAACCAAGGATCAGCTTATACTTGTCTTTCTCGCTCATAACACCAAACATTTTATACTCGGCATAAGCTGTATTCCCTTCAAAGTCTTCCAAATCCACACGCAGCATGCTGTTATTATCTGAGGTCAGCCGGTGAATCTTGTCCAGTCCCAACCAAAATTCACTTTTCAGATCACCAAAGCCATGTTTGTAGTCGTTCCAGTAGCGGTAGAAATCAACCGAGCCGTTCAGTCTTTTCTGGAACACTGTCCAACCACCACCGCCTGTTTTTTGGTCACAGAATACTTCAAAGGCAGGAAAATTATCAGGTTTGATGGTGTACACACCGTCAATTGGTTTACCCGCGGATTTGTAGATTTCTGCGCAGTTCCTTTTGACTAAAAATCAGAAAAAAAAACAAAAAAACAAACAAAACGCCCACGTTAAATTGTTTGGATTTGAGTGCTTTTTGATTGCTTTCCTGACTATTGCTTTGGCTGATAAAACTTAATTCTGAACTAACCTAGTACTATTTCTTTTTCATTAATATCTACCAGTTATATTCATGTAGAGTTACAGGAATAGGCTTTTCTTTTTCAGCTTTACTTCAGTGGTTACTATTTTGCTCTTGAAGTCAAGTTTGAGACTTAAGTGAGTAACTCCTCGAGTACTAAACGAAAGTCTAGCCCACACAATCCAGCCATTTCACCTTCAACTTGGCAAGTTTCTCCAATAAATCTTTCCCGACAGACACAGCGAAAACCTTTATAGGTGAATCCAGCTTGACAAGTGCCACTGTTTAAGCATGGGCTGCTGCTGCATGGATTCTGTTGACAAAAAAAAGTAAACTATTGTGCAGATCTTCCTTATGTCAAGAATAACATCACTTTAGCCTAAGGAAATGAAACAATCTCTTCTACCACCTAAAACTCGTAAGAATGTGAAATGCTACCTCGATTGCAAGATATGTGTAACTTAGATTATTCACGAGAAGAAATGGAGCATGGTTTTCCTCCGTGGCGTTATTCAACTCGCATTTTTGGTTTCCTCCTGCAACAGGTCCAACATTGATGGACATACAATTAGGCTCCATCAAACACATTACTTTGCAGCTCCCTTCGTTTGGCACCTCTGCACTTTTGATCGCGTGATTTTTCATGGCCATGTTCGGTATTGGGTCCTTAAATTTGATGTGTCGCCTATCGTCGCCTGTGGTAGGCAAAACAAATACATCATTTAGTTTCCACTCACTCGAGATAATTTATTATTTTCATCGATGAAAAAGGCACATTAAACCTCTTTATTTCAAAACTTTATAGACGAATTTTCCCTAAAGGTAATTCTCATCTCTTGAAAATTCAACGTAACTGGGAGGCTATCATTACCAAAAATTAACCTTTGATTGTGATTAATGAGCGGAAAGAAAATATTACAAAAAATATCAAGAATATTTTCATAGCGTCCATCAGCACACCACGATATCTGTGAATCGTTTGTTTTAATTCATCATTTTGAGCCATTGATGCGCATGTGATGAGGTCTATTTGAAATCGGACTTTTTTGTATCTTTTATTCCATAGTTGAAGACATTTTGAATTAGATAAAGCGGATTGTCTGCTAAAAGATTATTCGCTTTGATCTGCAGGTAGCATATGTAGCTCGTGTAATGGTTTTGAGGAAACGACACCACGAAGATGGAACAGAAGAAATTTAAAAAGGGATTTATACTCACCAGTGCAACAGAAACATAATGGGAGAATAATTCCAAGTAAGATATAGAGAATATTAATGATCGGTTGAAGAGAAAACTTGAACTGCATCGCTATAAAATAAAAAAAATTGTAAATTCAAGATAAAAATGTGATATTGAGCGTCCCAAAATATAAACCTTCCTGTTTTCCTGTAAGTTTGAAAGTTGACAATTGTTACGCAGGTGCTCGACATTATTTGCCAGCTTTGTCTACTTAAAGGGACTCTTAATTAGCACGACATTTCGAAGGCAAATATATACTTCGTTCAATTATGTTATTGCTCCAAAACACGTTGTTATGCTAACAGGCTTGTGTCATCCCTTGCACAAAAAAAGCCTAATATGAATTTATTCATATTAAATATTCATTTCCAAAGGTGAATTAACAACTGCAAAAGGTGCAGAAAGGGGAAAATAATAGATCGTTGTTGTTGGTTTGCATTGGAGTATTTTTAAATTCTTAGTCTACCTTGTAAATTTCATCTCATTCTGATAAGCCATAATATTTTATAAAGCTTCGGAGAAGAACGAAATAGAGCGCATCGACCTCATCGGGGGTGACAGGAGTTTATCAATATGTTTATTTTCAGCCTGTTTAACTTTGAAATTGCGGCAATGAAGTTAAGAGCAAGAAACAAATTTTTGCAGACTTGCTACCGACAAAGGTGTTAGATCACTTCTAAAATACAAACTTTTGACAATTTATCCTTATAACTTGCGGCAATTAAGTTAAGAGCAAGAGCAAATTTTTTCTGACTTGCTACCGACAAAAATGTCAGATCACTTCTGAAATACAAAATTTTAAACAACTTATCCTTTTTTATCACAAAATACTCTTCCGTACGATAGAACAGTATTGCACTCTATTAACGTGAATATTAACTTTGTAGCAACTTTATATTGAACAATGCAATACAATGTATTTAAAATACAGTGGCCTAAGTTTTTATGGCTCGTTTTGCTCATGGTAGTTGAACATGTTAGTTAGCATTAAACATCACCCGATTTTATCTTAGTTAGACAGGTCGCAAGCATTCTATGACTTTGAGAACTTCAACCTAAAAAGATTCAAATTTGTAACAACTTTGAGCAGAAGAATGTGACAGAATGTGAAATATCGTGTGGCTTAATTTACAGATTTTACACAAAATTTTTCTCGATCATTTCTGCAATCAGCGAAATTGGTGTGAGCAAGAAAGGCTTGGTCTAAGAAATATAGACAAGTAGCTCACAGAGATATTCCTTACCTTCTTAGCGAAAAAGTGTTTTTCGTACTTGGTTTTGTTCTTGGGGGTATCAATAGTGACAACTTTTTTTCGTGGTTTTCTTTAATTTATAGAACTGTTTGAACTTCTATAGTCATGGTTACAAAACAAAACCACTGATTTATACGCCACAGTCCTTGTTCCTGTTCAGCTGTTCTAACTGTTGTTAGTGATCAGGTCAAAGCTTTAGTGTTTAAATCTAAATGACTGCGGAGTCTCATCTTAGCACCACTGGATATGACAGTCAATCAAAAACTTCAATGGAAATCCAGTAGAATGTTTTGAAAAACTTATATGGCAAGTCCAACTCTTAAACAAAGCTGCAAATTATTTGGTCAAAACACTCAGCGAGACATTTAGGAAGTTTTAGAACTGCACAATGTTTTCCTATTTTCCCTGGAGATAATTAAAGCGTTTTATGTCTTTCTTTTGAAAATATTAATTTTTAGAACTACACAATGTGTCATATTTTCCTCCAGAGTTAACCACGGTGTTATATATAAGGTTATGATTTTCCAATTTACATGTATCTTACAAAAAATGCTCTCGTCAAAATCGCACTTATTTTCCTAAGGAACCAGGATGAAGAAATGATATCATGAGAATTGTTGACATTTAATAAAACCGAAACAGCAAATCGAAACATGCAAAACCACCGAAATGACCAAAACAAAAAGATTGAAACGAAACGAACCTAACGACTCAAACGAAAAAACCAAAAACGACCAAAACAGTACAAAAAAAAAAAATCAGAAATTAAAATAACGCCCAGGGGTCATTTAAATTATGTTCTACTCCTGATCTACCTCATGGGGAAATTCAGTTATCTCTATATTACCATCAGCTTGACGTGAGACGTCGAGGGAACCTTTTTGAAAAAAATATCAATACAAAGGTCACGTACATAAATGTTGTCAATGAATGTCGTTATCTGTTTCTTCCTCTCCTAACGCTTTGGTATTCAATTTGGCTGGCGTTCCGTCCTGAAAACTACATATAAATGTCAAATTTTACTTTCAGCTGCTCGCGTGGTGGAAGAAAATTAAGTTTCGTTAGACAGCCATCATAATTAAAAACAATAAATGCGAGCGAATATCTTAAGTGAAATCTACATTTCCTGCAGTCGTTTCGCTTGTTTCGTTTTGGTCGTTTCGTTTTGCTGTTTCGGGTCTTAGTACATGCCGAAATTATAAACGATATCATCACAAAGTAAATATTTTGACTCAATATCTGTCTGCTGACAAAAGTGATCTTGCCAGGAAGTGCTCAGAAGCTTAGAAAAAAGAAAAGGCCATAAAATGCAAGGGGTACGTGTCGACTTTGAGGGTTTTTTTTTTTTTTGGATGTGTCAGAAATGAAAATCATGTCTTCTTACCCTCTAGAGAAGTGTTTGAAGTGCTGTAACTATGGTTATAAAGCAGAACGGTTTCATGAGTGGTGAACATAGACGCCACAGGCCTTCTTACTGTTCAGCTGTTCTACTTATTTGTAGTTTGACTGGTTTTCTCTAAGTAACATTGTACAAGTATAATAGTCAATGAAATACTTCACTAAAAGTCCAGCAGAGGAGTTTTGAAAAAGTTAGCAAGTGTAACTGTTAAACAGCCAACTAGTCTTAGTAGCCATTATATTAGCTACTTAACGTGTCTTGGTGCAAAATCACCGAACAGTTACTACGCTATAAACCCGGTCTGCCCTCGTATTATTTCTGCAGTAAAGAAATAAAACCAGTGGAAGAGAGCCAGCTCAATTATCTTATACGGAAGAAAAACACTCTTTTTGTAGAGTATAGTCAAATGTTAAAAAGCTGGTCACGACTGCGCATCTGCATCAGATAAGCACTTGTTTTTTACGAGCGGTTTCGCGTGATATGAAAATTAATAAGACGGGTACGTTATGGAATAAATAAACCCCTTTCTGCAGCTGGCTTGTTGGTATTTCGGCTGGCAATGCCCTTGGCTGAAAGATTGTCTTAAAAGTTTTGCCTCTCGGCCAAATATTTCTAATTTTTGGACAATGTCTCAATCGTGGACATTATCAGCCGATTTACCAGCCGCTCGAAGGGGTTTATTTATTTATTAGTTGTATCTCAAACAAGCAGAATATCAGAGCCGTCGTAAAAAATCTTTAAACGATAACTGTTATATAGAAATCGGCTGTCAAAGGATATGGTAACTGTTCCAAACATTTAAACCACGAAAATACCGTATAGGGGGTCTTTTTTTTTCTATTAGATTAAAGTGAGGGTCTTAAAAAAATACACTAGAAAATATCGGTGGCTAAAAGTGGTGTCGTGCCATCGTTAATAAAACTATTTTAAGCGCTGTAACCATGGTTACAAAAAACATAGGCATGCGCATGCAAGAGTTATTTTTTTTTTTAGCTGGGTAGATCGAAATGGGACACTTTGTGTTCCTGTTTTTATTACTTTCGAAAGAGCGAAAATATCGCGTTACTTCACTTTAAGAGGAAGACAAAAAAATCTGTGTGTGAAATACGTGATAAAATGCAAATTTTTACAGGGAATTAACACGCGATCGGGCTAATTCCAAGGTAGATAAAAGCGAATTTTATTCGAAGAAAAACTCAAAACGCGGGAGAATGCGTGGAAAATTCATTATCAGTAGCATAAATTTTATGTGAACTTTTACCAGTGGTATTGGATAATGCGGTTAGAATGCGTGATAAAATCCAGGTTGTTCACAAGGAATTGGCATGTGATGGAGCGAAGTCTAATATGGCAAAGTGGAATTTAATCGGTAGAATACAGTTCAAGCACGTGATAAATTGCCTAATGTTCATGTGGTGCAATGATTGGGTATGTTCTGATTGCATTTTGGACGTTGTTTCCATAGTATGTGATGGAATGTAAGTTGTTTGGCATGTGCGTTGTGAGAAAAGAAGCGGAAAAAACATATTTTAACTTGAAAATTATACAATGAAATGAATGCGAACCTTTCATTCGATTTCATATCCCGATAAATACCGACCTAACTCGACGAGGCTCCTGCAAAGGCCAAAATCATAACACTAATAAAATGAGCCGAAGATTTCTGGTTAACATCATTCTTTGTGCACAGCCCCCAGATTCCATTACATCCGATTTACAAGGAAACAATACCCAAACGCTTTGATTGGTGCATGATGTCCAAATGCTGATGTGATTGGTGTGAGATACATACCCTAATGCGAAAATATGATTGGTGCAAGATACATACCCTAATGCAACGATCTGATTGGTGCGAGCAACATAATACTCTACACGCTAACATAGAGCTATTTTTTTTTTTTTTTAATATGACTCAAAACCGTTTAATAGGCAATGAACAGAAGCGCTTTAGTTTTTCTTCCTAATCAGTCATTAAAACTGTTGGCATCCATCAGCTCACGGTTTTGGTCTTTTATGGTTGTGATAGTCTAGTAGAGTGTTTTTTGAAAATGCCGGAAAGTCAAACTCTATGAAAAAGCCACAACTGATTAGATGTGGGTGGTTATTGTTGGAACACAAACGCAATAGTTTAATACCGTGTTTGCTTAAAATTATTTGCTTTTTTTTTACAGATGGCTTATGAAGTTCGCCAATGCCGGTTCCGAGGCAACGACGCCAGAAAAATCGAACATGAACACTGAATAGCAACTGAATGGAATGAAACTAATTTTTATATGTTCTGATTAATCAAAACGGATCCAAATGTGAATAATTTTGTAACTGTTCCCTCGGCCGTCAATCTGTTCGAGGCGGCCGTTTGTTAGTTAGTTTGCTTGTTTTTTCTTCTGTTTGGTCGGACTGCGTTAATCGGTGGAGTAAAAGAGCGCAAGTATGAAGTACAAGTGAGTGATATGCTTTTACTCCTGTCAATACGGATAGATTTCCATTGCCCGTTGGTGGCCGTTTTAACGGGGTTCCACCGTAGTCTCTTTTGCAATTGTTGTCGTTGTGGTTTTTTTGTCATCGCGCAACTCTTCTTCTTGATGGATGAACAAGGAGGAAAAGCCCCGTCTAGTCATCAAAATTTTTCTGTGGAGTATGACAACGCAAGTGTCAAGTAAAAGCGAGTGACCCACGCATCGCGCTCGCAATAAAACTGCGGTTAGGCCTTTTTTTTCGCGCTCCTTATTCTCTTAAATACGGGGGCGCGCCAAAACCACAAAGACAAAGACAAAGATTACATGAAACTAAAATTTCACTTGACCACAGGTTAGCTGGCTTTCTGAGCACCGCTTTTTAATACTTTCGATCAGGCGTTTTTTTGTTTTCAGTCCGCAACCGCAAGCCTTGCTCACTCGAAAACCGCCTGATCGCAAGTTACGCTTTTTAAACCGCCTATTCTTCATGATATATCTTTCTATTTTCTATTTTCTATTTTATGATACTAATTTCTATAATTCCGATAACATTTTAACCAACGGGAGTCTGTCAGTCCGTACTGAGTTAAATAAGAAATCGCTGCAAACGAATTTGCGAAACGCTTAGATAAGAGCGTGGCTATTGTTAATTTTTGCTATTGTTCACTTTATCTCACCTTGGGATTTACTTTACGCATCCAATCGTTTGATTAACAGCAGCTGAAATCTGAAATCTGACCTTTGTATTCCCAAAGCTTAATCTGCTGACCAATCACAGCCGACTAGTTCAAGATATGCAAATTATTGTACCGCCCGCTGATTAATGGGCACTGCAAGTACATTTCGCGAAAGACAATAGAATTCTGAGCGATGGACTTGTTCAGCGGCAAATAAGTGAGTGGTTATAGAAAGATTCCTGGTCGGAGCATCACTGCAAGTTTTGGAAGAGTGTTCCTTTACTAAGGAACGCAGCGAGAAAACAAAGAAGACCTTTGGACACAAAAAATCACGGAAAATAACCGAAGTATTTCTTCTCACTCCATATTTTACCTTCAGTCTTTTGATTGGTCAGCGGTAACCTGCCGCGACTTCACCCCTGCGATAATCTGCCCTCTTCGTTCTCCGTCTTCCTTTCGCACAACAAGTTGAACTACGCCCATGATCTGTAAAGGCGTTCCTGAAAGAGAAACAAACGCTTCAGCTTAATTCTAACCCTGGGCTGAACGTTCCTGCTGACGGAACAGTCCGACCAACTAGTTCTAACAAATTCAAAGTGGCCTTAGAAGTGGCCTTACGTGTTTCAAAAATAGTTTAGTTGTTCTCCAGTTCTCTTTTTCTGCGTCGCAACAAGCCAAAAATCATTTTTAGCTAAGCCACCCGTGTGGACAGCGATCGAAAATGTAAATTTCACAGATTTTTCCCAACGCGCAGAGACTGCAATAATGTAGCTCACAGAATTCTACCTTGCTACAAGTTACAAGATGTATTCAGTTATTTCACAGACAAAATATGAAAACTTCGCCAGAGGAGAACCTTCTCTTCGACCTTAATTAGCATATCAAAAATTCACCAATTTGTACGAAAGAATTCTTAAAATGCAGGCGTTTGTCGGGCTAAAAAAATTATATCGGTGCATAGTTTATACACTAATGAGGTCACCGATGGGTTTCTCTCTAGCTTCCATCCACTAACATCTTAGAAACAACGCAAGTTTGCTTAATTGCGCTTGTGTCAAAAATTATTTGCATAATTCACAAAATTGACCGAGGCCTCCTTTGACCATTCAAAATTCGTTTGTATATCTTCTACTTTGAGGATTTTGGGTTTTCATAGCAACTGAATGGAGAAAAAATGCCGAGTTGTCCTAAAACGTTGCGTAAATGTGATCGGTTTTAACGCTTGCACGCCTGCGTGACTTACAAAGTAAACAAAGCTGATCGGAAGGCGCCTTCTCGATAATTTTCGTTGAAGTATCAGGTCATGAAATACTCACAGTGTGGAGAAGATCAAATTTAGAAAATAAAATTTGGCACTCTGGTCATTACAGACATATCACGTCGCTAAAAAGGACACACAAACAAGTTAAAATACATTACAGTGTTATTTACAAAACAACGCGCATACGCTCTGAAAGAATTCTTTCAGTTTCAAACAGAATTATTCAAACATTTATAGTGTTTTACGAGGCATTTTTTTCATATCATTCCAGGAATACTAAACCTTTATCAAATACAGCTCTCTGGACGTTTATATGAAATACATACATACATTTTTTCTACAATAGCTGTAGCTGTTCCCGGGCGCTTCTTGGCCATCGTCAATAAGGTTAAAGCTCACAAAAATGACCAACACGTAATCTATATCGCAACACTCAGAAATCCTCACCGTTTCGTAGAAAAAAATTATCGCAAATTTTTTAAATATGTACCGTGACGACTTTCTGAACTTTAGATCAGTAAACTTGGATACATTTTTAAAGAAGAGCTTGTCGAGGTAGAAGAAAAATTGGAAGAAAACATCTTCAGAAAAAGAAAGCCATTTCTCAGTTCGCGACGTTTAAAGAAGATAATTGCCAATGCGATAAAAACAATTCAGGGTAACGGAATCTATAAATAGCAATTTCTTACTGGTATTTCAATGCAGAAGTTATTACACAACACAAATCAAAACGACAACGGCAGCTCAAACAACGAAGCAATAATCGATCAAATTGGGCGCATGTGATTTTCCGAAAAATTTGGCATATTAAACTGGCGTAAAATAGACAGTGTTATTGATGTAAATAAATCGACTATAATTTTCCATTTAAGACAGGAGTTAAGGCTGTCACAAGGTTGGATATAGATAACTAAACCGCCCTAACGTATCACTTACACGAGGCACCAGGTTACCCTATGCTGCGCCTCGTGATTTCATTTTAGCTTTGAACATTGTGACGTCATTCATATCATCAATAAGGTTCTAGAAAAACGAAAACTGTGGTGGATTTCTTAAATATATAAACATACAATAAACCAAACATTTTCTCGGTTTACAGGGTAATTAATCACGCGAAACATTTTTTCCCAAGTGGTTTTTATTAGCCGGTAAACCGATAGAAAATGTGGTTCATTGCTTTTATGCCGATAAATATGAGTGAAGTTTGTCAAAAAGAATGATAAAATTATTATTATTTTGTGATGAAGTCACTGATTTACGATTTAAGAATGACATGGAGATTTTACTCCGGGTTGTAAATAAAGTTTTGCACAGTCAGAATTTTGCTCTTGGATACCGGAACGTTTAGGTGGTCGAAGAGTTCACGTGGTTCACTTCCCAGACGGGTTTGAGCAGGGCCAGCGTGACAACTAGGGCTGGGTTTTTGGGGCTGGTAACTTAACAAATGTATGAGGTTTTTTCTTCACTTAATATTCAATAAGGTGGAGTCACTGTTGATATTCAAATAGAACTACTGCCTCATCAAAACAGATTACGAGTCAAGGCTGTCACAAGGTTAGATTTAGAAAACTAAACTGTCCTAACATGCTATTTACAAAAGGCACCAGGTCACCCTATGGTCACGAGCGGTCTGATGTATTCTCACCAGTTCAAATAATATCCCAGAAAAGCGTATTTATTACGGCAGTTGGCAACAGCAGTGTTGAAGAGTGAGTCACTTTACGACGATTTTCCTTTACGAAGCGTGTCACCAAGAAAGTGAGCTATTTTATTATTATTATCAGTTTTCGCCACATAATTTATGTTACGTTGACCAGTTGTTCATTCACTTTTTTTGCTACATGTACATGTATTTAAATGTAACGATTAAAAGTTATTTAACGCTTTCGAAACTTCGATCTTCAAAAAAGACTCACAGCTTTTGAGATCGTGGTCACGCGGGCATTCAGTAAAGTGCTTTGGAAAATGAAAAAAGTTCGATTTATCTTCGTAGCGTCTGGTTTGTAAGCCTCACCATAGCCAACTGATAGGGGCACTTCCCCTTAACAAATATCTTACCAGTAAGCTCGTTTTGATATAAAAGACCATTTTTTCCTTGTTTGAATGCGATTAAATTGGATTTTGTTCAAGTTAAAAATGTTTTATTGATTCTGCAGATGAAGTGGTCCGTCATCTCGTCACCAGCGCTACTGATCCTGTATTTGGTGACATTCTCTTCTGCTGAGGAGTTAAAAAGGAAGACACCAGTCCACCTGAAGATTCAATTTACCTCGATTTTAGTATGTTGCATTTTCGAATTCCTCTTTTTTTGTACGACACTTGTCTTCTCTACTGGAATATTGTCGCATTTTTTACAGACATGATTTAGCGTATCTGTCTAATGTAAATGTTCTTTACAGACCAGGTTTTGAAGCTGACGGCTGTTGTTGTTCTTGTATTCATTCGTTTGTTTTTTCTGGGAAAGGATCAGAAGATCGAACTTGTGTGTTTTTTGTTATTTATGGGAACAAGCGATGTTTTGAGAGTTTTCATAATTGCACAAGCCATAGGCGGGTGAAATGTGAGACCTTTAAAAGCACCACGAGTGACCTCATATCATAGGACACAAGAGTTGCTCGTGGGATTTTTATGATTATTATCTTAAAAACGACTACCTGTACCTTTACACTACATTGTACGTCCTCGGGTGAAAATTACGTGAAGAATTTTCCAACCGGCTGAAAACTTGTTTCTTTGAATTTTCTTTGAAATGTGAAACCTATAAAACCATCACGAGTGACCACATGTCGTAAGACTCAAGAGCAGCTCGTGCGATTCATTTAGTTATAATCTTAACAAAAAAGAATGCGTATCGACACTACTTTGCACTTCCTCGGGTGAAAATTACGTGAAGAATTTTCCAACCGGCTGAAAACTTGTTTCTTTGAATTGGTCATATAATAGAATGATACGCGACTTTGCTAATACTGAGCTCAAAATGAACGCTGGAATTGGCCAACCCTGTACCGGGTCTCTCAAGGCGTTTGTTGTTTCGCGCGGCCTCGATCCTTGTTCTTGTTGTCTGTGATGCAAAGTCAAAAAAGCTTCGTAAATTCTTTAAAGTTGTATGTTTGCAAACCTTTTCTTTTCATGATGGGCAGAGGAGATCATTGATCTGTGTAGGAATGCGAAAATGACCTTAGACATCGGTACAAGGCACAAAATTTTAACGAAAACCTGTTATTTCCAATTCGTGGGTTCGTGGCGCAGAAGTCCGTAATAAGTTGTTACGCCATAATTCCGTTCCATCCCGTTCAAAGTAGACCTTAAAGAGTTCAAATGAGAATTATATATTCCGAAGAATAATCAATTCTGAAAATAATGGAAATTTAAGACGTGAAATTGACGAAAGCGCCAAGGACTATGGCTGGAATATAAAAACAGCGCCTACCGACTTCAACTGAGGTTTTGCGACATTAGGGCTACTATTTGAACCGGTAAATATTATTTTGATTATTGAAAAGTATACTAAAAGTATTGTTCAATCATGGATTTTGTCTCTAAACGATTCTAGAATTTTTAACGTAACGCTACGCGATTTGTGATCTGAAGTTATCTAAACAACGATTCCATCATGGTGAATCTATCGCTTGGATCCTGTAAAAGCAAGAAATTCGTTCGTTTTTTGCCTGTGAATTGTCAATTTTAGCACTCTTTAAAATAAAGGAATATTTCTAGGTCGTTTATCTTTACACATAATTAATAGCTTCAGGTACGCGATCATCTCGTAAACCCGACAAATTTAGATATTGAATTGAGAGCGAGTTGTGACTTTAGTGGTAAATAGAGAATATTACATGAGCGCACGTAGATATAGAATTTCTCTTTCAGTGTTCAACTCGATAGCTCACCATGTATTATTTTGTTTATCGCATAAACACCGTGGCTTTACTGACAAGAAAAGTCAAAGTCGACTTTACTAATGAATGAAAAATAAAAGAATCGACAATACCCTGATGAAAATCGTAAAGCGCGTTAGCGCACTCAAGATGAAAACATGCGTCGAATCACTGAAAAAACAAAAGTGGTCCTAATATTCAATATAAAAAATTCTCAATTACTGACTTTGTCCATCGCCAGAAATCAAGGACATTTCGAGCCCGCTAACAATTATCAGCGGTATATCGTATTACACTCTGGAACAATAGAATATCAAGAGAATTCAATATGCCGGCGATCACGGCTCGATCTGCAAAGAAGAGTGTTTCGTACCATGACTTATACACAATTTGAGCACCGCAGATCTTCTATTTGATGAAAAGAAAAAGAAAAGAAGACCTGCAAGTAAATCTTTGGGATTTTTCGAGGCAGAGCGATGACATGATGTCAGAATTTTGATTTGCTTTAATTTAATTTTCGCGCTAAGACTACTGAATTTGCTTTCAATGCCTGGCATATTTATATTCCGATAAGGACCGAGAACTAATTTATTTCCCTGCAAGAACATAAACAAATATGGCCGACGATTCGAAGATCAGCGTTGCTCGTGTTTAACTATTTCAGTAATAGTTTTCGACATGGCGTCTCGTCACTTACTCAACATGGAAAATAAGGGATATTCTGGCGCGTTGGGAACTTTTTTGATGGGAGGAAATGGCAATTTTACAGGATATTTGGACGCTTCGAACTCTGTAGCAGTCAACTCGATCGAGAGCAGTTGACTTTATTGATGCACTTTCTTGTAATAGGCGAGTGTTTGGGATGGAGAACGACGGATTTTAAAGAACTGTATGGCGACCTAGGTCAATAATCAATGACAAAAGAACTGGCTCGGGAAGTAAGTGGCTTTTATTTATCGAGTCCCTGTGAGGTTTGATGAATAGCAGAATCAGTACTGAATATGTCTCGATCGAGAGCAGACGGGACCATGAGCTCCTGATTGTTATATTTAAGAAATTTTACAAATTTCCTTACAGTTTCTTATATTATTTGGACGCCATTATGGACGAAATGCGCAAGCGCGGCCGCCATCTTGTCCAATATTTCTGCCGATGCTTACCGACAAGAGAAATCTGTCAGGTACAGGGCCAAGATGGGCCTGTGACAAAACTTCCGGCTGTCGATTCTTGTTCTCTGCGGCGAGAAATGCAATTAACCAAAGCCACTGAATATGTAACTTTCGATTTGTCTTTTCGTATTTTGGTTTTCTTCACCTTCTAGAGATGTTGAAACGTCACTGTCTGTAAGAGATACGGATTTTTCAGTGTTTTAGCAGCCACAATACCAGAAAATTCCGACTAACGACCTTGGATTGAGTGACTTTGCCGTCTAGTCATCCACCTGACCGAATGGCACGAAAGGCAAGTGACGTGTCAGCAGCTGGTTTGCGAAATCACTTACACGTGAAAAAGTACTGGTTTTTTTCACGTATATTGTTACGGCTGTTCTCAGGACTGGAAATCCTTGTATAACACCGTAGTTTATATGATATGTATTTCTGACGGAAACCAAAGAAGTAAAGCAGTCATTAAAAATCATGCAAAGAAGAGAAAAACAGGCCGGACTGTGTATCAAGAAAATGCTGATACAACTGTGATGGAAGCAGAAAATGTCATGAACGTAACGTTTTATTGTGAAATTAAAAAAAAACAAAGGTTTTCTTTAAATTTACGTAAGTTACAGGATATCTTGGTTTGTTACATGTGCTCCTCGCCCCATCATGGAGCGAAAGACGGTCTGCTAACGGAAACTTTTTAAATCATTTGAGAATCTTTTCGAGACTATACACAACGAAAAAGATACGAAACGGGATGGAACAGAAAGCGTAACAACCTATTACGGACTTTTGCACGAACCCACGAATTGGAAATAAAAGGTTTTCGTTAAAATTTTTTACATTTCGTAATGACTACGGTCATTTTCACATTCCAACATAAATCAATGTACACGGTTGGCCAATCCCAGCATTCATTCTAACCTCAGTATTGGTAATTAGAAAGTCGCGTATTGTGTAATGTTTTTAAGAGTCAAGCATTATTTTGTCTTCCATAAAGGCCTCGATTTGAAGGAACACCGTATGGCACTCGAATTGGGAGGAACACCGCATGGCACTCTTTGTTTAATTTACATGTAGACATTTTTTATTAATTGTTGGTTAAGAGGATATATTCAGTAGTCCAATCGATCGACGAAATAATCAACACTTTCATTTATTTTGCAGGACACTCCACCATTTGATTGTGCATCACATAGATTATGCCCTGATAATTTGGAATGCAGTATATTTGACACGTGTTGTCAAAGGTGGCCTCCTTGGAGGTATTCATGTTGTCCTCTACCAAATGCTGTTTGTTGCTATGACCTAAAACATTGCTGTCCGGAAGGATACATTTGTTCTCCTATTGTAAAAGGGTGTATACCTGAGCACAAATCTCAGTTATAAAATATAAGCTGGAAATAAAAAAGGAATGCTCAAAAAAAAAACTATTGGAGTACTTTGATGTAAATGACGTTATGGTCATGAGATTCTTGAAGTAAACACAATAAAATCACAAACGATAGCACAAAATATCTTATTTATTTTGTTCAAAATCTAGGTTCTCTTAAAAGCACTCAGTTCCACAAATGTATATTTGATAACCCCAAAGCAAGCTGTCTGTAATGCATATAGCCACATGATTCCAAAGTTATAGGAAAAATTTCAATTGCAGAACTAAATATTCGGCCACAGTTTGAAACGGGCTCAGATCTTGGCAAGCCTTAGGCTGACTCGTGCTAGTTCCCAGCGTTTTAAATTACCATTGCGATGCAGGATCTGCAGAATTGAAACACATGAGAAAATGCAAGATTTGTCGTCGCTGATTGAAATAATTCTGCACACGTCTTTCAGATTGACGCAAATAGCTTTGTTATTACGTGAAAAAACAATCGCTGTCAACAAACTTACAAAAAACTGAGGAAAAGATAGGGGTAATATTTCCAAGCCTTTCTACCTACAGCGTGTCGATTTTTCTGAATTAAAGTATATATGTTGTGCTTCACTTACAAAAAGTTCAGAAAAATTGTATGGAGCCAGCTCTGAGCTAAACGGACCTAACGAATTAGCGTCATGTATACTACTGTAAAAAAAGAAAAAGAAAAAGCAGTCGTAATTCCCTAATTTTAATTTATCACTGATATAGTAACTGGTTTAGCAAACAATAGCTTGGAACGTATCGAAAATTTGTATCATTTCGCAGCTGATAAATCAGAAATAAACTTTGTGGCAAAGCAATTTTACAAAAGCTAACTGGTTGAAAATTACCCAGCGGTGGGACCTAACTCCAAAATAAAGGAAATCCTGAAAGAGCGAAAAACAACGTATCAAGGATTTTTCGAGACCGTCCTCAAAAACTGTACCGTGGGATTTCCCAATAGCATTGCCAGCGATTGCTAAGCCACGCCACACCCACTATTTCAAACTTCTATCCGTTCCTAATAACATGTGTCAAAATCGAACGACTGCAAAGGAGGGGAGTTGGTTTTTGAGCGCTCTAGTGTTGCCGGTTAGTGCTTAGGAAAACTATTTCCATCAACCTCAAATTTGGTTGAGGTAGATATATTTAGAGACTGCACAAGCTAAGTGGTAATTTCCTCTTAAAAACAAAATATCGAGATTAGCGCCATAATATGTATCGCCAAGTAGGAAAGTACATGTTAGCAGGAGATTGGGTTTATATCGGCTATAATGATCAATTTGATCAGAATATCACTCCAGCTTATTTTGCCCAATTACGAGGTCAGATTACGGTCTCAGTTCAGTTGTAGTTCGAAGAACTGACTAAGTGCGGAACTGGGCTCGGCATGTAATTTCTTCCGTCACCCATGCCTTCCAAAGATCGTCTGCTCGGTCAACTAAGTGTCTCAATGGGGTGATAACTTTTAAAATTTTGGCCAGATTACGGCTAACGGTTAATATCTTTTTTTCTACAACTAACGGTTAATAATTGTCAATTTTTACGCCTAGGACACATGTTTCAAAAATAGCTTAATTGTACTCCAAGTCTCTTTTTCTGCGTCGCCACAAGCCAAAAATCACCCGTGCGGACAGAGATCGAAAATGTAAATGTCACAGATTTTGTCCAGCGCGCAGCGACTGCAATAATATAGCTCACGGAATTCTGTCTTGCTGTGAGTTACAAGATGTACTCAGTTAGTTCACACTCAAACATGGAAACTTCACCTGAAATATTTTTCATACCAGCGTGATCAGAGGAGACCCTTCTCTTCGACCCTAATTTGCACATCAAAAATTCACCAATCTGTACGAAAGAATTCTCAAAATGCAAGCGTTAATCGGGCTAAAAGAGTATATCACTGCATAGATTATTCACCAATGAGGTCACCGATTGCCTCAGACCCGCGGGTTTATATCTAGCTTTCATCCACCATCATCCTAAAAACAACGCAAGTCTATCAGTGTTTTGCTCAATTGTGCTCGTGTCAAACATTATTTGCATAATTATGAAAATTGACTAAGATCTCCTTTTGACCGTTCAAACTACGTTGAGGATTTTAGATTTTCATAACAACTGAATAGAGAAAAGATGCCGAGTTGTCTTTAAACGATGCGTAAACGTGATCGGTTGTAACGCTTGCGCGCCTGCGTGACTTACAAAGTAGACAGAGGTGATCGGAAGGCGCCTTCTCGATAATTTTCGTTGAAGTATCAGGTCATGAAATACGCACAGTGTGGAGAAAATCAAATTTAGAGAATAAAATTTGGCACTCTGGTCATCACAGACATATCGCGTCGCTTAAAAGGACACACAAACAACTTAACATACGTTACAGTGTTATTTACAAAACAACACGCATATACTCTGAAAGAATTCTTGTAATTTCTCCCGAGATTTAGCACACGGAACGCAATGAACAAGTCCATCCTTTCTGCAAATTTGTTCCCATCATTAATGATTTACGCTGTTATGGACCAAAACATTTTCCCGATCATCAAAAACTCAGCTAGATTGCGTGACATGTAATGCTAATTTTTCCCTGTCATAAATTTTATGTATTTTCCAAAAAACAAAAAAACATATATATATGTTATTATCAATATATATATATATATATATATATATAATAATATATAATTTCTAAAATTCTTAAACTATATCAAATACTCTGGACGTTTATATGTAATACATACATGCATTTTTTTCTAAATAGCTATAGATATTCTCGGGCGCTTCTTGGCTGTTGTTGATAAGGTTAAAGCTCACAAAAATGACCAAAACGTAATCTATTTCGCAACACTCAGCAATCCTCTCCATTTCGCGAAAAAAATCCTCGCAAATATGGACCGTGGCGACTTTTCGAATTTTAGATCAGTAAACTTGGATACATTTTTAAAGAAGAGCTTGTCGAAGTGGAAGAAGAAGCTGAAGAAGTCAGCTCTCGGTTCGCAACGTTCAAAGAAGATAATTGCTGATACGATAGAAAAAATTCAGGGTGATAGAATCCATAAACAACTATTTGTTACTGATATTTCAATGCAGAAGTCATTACACAACACAAATCAAAACGACAACGGAAGCTCAAACAACAAGGCAATTATCGATCACATCGGGCGCATGTGATTTTCCGAAAATTTTGGCGCATTAAACTGGCGTAAAATAGACAGTGTTATTGACGTAAACAAATCGACAATAACTTTCCATTTAAGGCAGGAGTTGAGGCTGTCACAAGGTTAGATATCGATAACTAAACCGCCCTAACGTGTTACTTATACGAGGCACCAGGTTACCTTATGCTGCGCCTCGTGATTTTATTTTAATTATGGACCTTGTTGACGTCATTCATATCATCAACGAGATTATAGAAAAACGAAAACTGTGGTGGATATGTCAAATAAATAAACATACAATAAACCACACATTTTCTCGGTTTACAGGGAAATTAATGAGCACGCGAAAGCGCTTCTTGCCAAGTGGTTTTAATTGGCCGTTAAACCAATAGAAAGTGTGGTTCATTGCTTTTATAACATTAAACTATTCTTATTTTGTGATGAAGTCGCTGATTTACGATTTCAGAATGACATAAAGATTTTATCTAAAGCTGTGAGTAAAGTTTTACGCGTTCAAAATGTTGCTCTTGGATGCCGAAACTTTTAGGTGGTTGAAAAGCACACGTGGTTCACTTCCTAGGGGTTTGAGCAGTAGCGTGACAACTGGGGCTGGGTCTTTGGATCTGGCAATTCAACAAATGTATAAGGTTTTTCCTTCACTTGTCGATATTCAATGCAAACATAACTCCTGTTTACAGAACTACAGATTACAAGTTAAGGCAGTCACAAGGCTAGACTTAGAAAACTAAACTGCCCTAACGCGCTACTTACACAAGGCACCAGGTCACCCTACGGTCACGAGCAGTCTGTGGTGTTCTCACCAGTTCAGATTATATCCCAGAAAAACGTATTTATTACGGCAGTTGGCAACAGCAGTGTTGAAGAGTGAGTCACTTTACGACGATTTTCCTCTTCGAAGCGTGTAACCAAGAAAGTGAGCTATTTTCTTATTATTATCAGTTTTCGTTACATAATTTGTGTTACGTTGACCAGTTGTTCATTCACTTTTTTGCTACATGTAATCCGCTGTTAATAAGAGTAACGATTAGAAGTTAGTTAACGCTTTTGAAACTTCGATCTTAGAAAAACAACCACAGTACTTGATATCGTGGTTATGCAGGCATTCAGTAAAGTGCTTTGGAAAATAAAGAAAGTCCGATTTATCTTCATAGCGTTTGGATTTTTAACCATCACCATAGCCAACTGATGGCGACACTCCCCCCTAACAAATATCCTGCCTGTAATCTCTTTGAGATTACGAGCAGGAAAAGAGGAGGAAAAGAGCATTTTTACCTTGTTTGAATGAGATTAAATTGGATTTTGTTTAAGTTAAAAACGTTTTATTGATTCTGCAGATGAAGTGCTCCGTCATCTCATCGCCAGCGCTATTGATCCTGTATTTGATGACATTCTCATCTGCTGCGGAGTTAAAAAGGAAGACACCAGTCGACCTGACGGTTCCATTTACCTCGACTATAGTATGTTGCATTTTCGAATTCCCCCCTTTTTGTACGACACTAGTCCTTTTTAAAATTGTCCCATTTTGTACACACATTATTTAGCGAAATTGTATAATGTAAATGTTCTTCACATACCAGCTTTGGACGGTTGTTATTGTTCTTGTTTGTCTGTTTGTTTTTAATTTTTATTTATTCAAAAGATTTAACGTACTTGTTTTTTGTTATTTATGGAAACAAGTGATGTTTTGAGAGTTTTCATAATTGCACAAGCCATAGGCGAGTGAAATGTGAAACCTATAAAACCATCACGAGTGACCACATGTCGTAAGACTCAAGAGCAGCTCGTGCGATTCATTTAATTATAATCTTAATCAAAAAAAACTGCGTATCGACACTACTTTGCACTTCCTCGGCGAAAATTACATGAAGAATTTTCCAACCGGCTGAAAACTGTGACCTGACCTAGTGGATGGGTCATATTATGGAATAGTACGCGACTTAGCTAATACTGAGCTCAAAATGAACGCTGGGATTGGCCAACCCTGTACCAGGTCCCTCAAAGGGCATGTTGTTTCGCACGGCCTCGATCTTTGTTCTTGTTGTGTGAGATGCAGAGGCAAAAAAGCTTCGCAAATTCTTTAAACTTGAATGTTTGTAAACCTTTTTCTTTCCATGATGAGCTGAGGAAATCATTGATCTGTGTGGGAATGTGAAATGACTGTAGACATCTGTAATGGGTCCTGTAAATGCAAGAAATTCGTTCGTTTTTTGCTTCTGAACTGTCAATCTTTGCACTATTTTGAATAGACGGATATTTCTAGGTCATTTTTCTTCGCATATAGTTGATAGCTTCTGGTACAATGCAATTGTCTCGTAACCCCGACAATTTGCATATTGACTTTGAGCATGGTTAGCGATTTGTGCCTTAAATAGAGAATATTACATAGGCGCGCGTGGAATGGAATTTCTCTATGAGTGTTCAACTCGATAGTTCACATGTGGCTGCAGCGAACGATTGAGATTTCAAGATGAACACTCAAAGAGAAATTCCATATCTACAAGCAACCACGTATTATTTTGTTTATCATATAAACACGGTGGCCCTTTATTGACAAGAAAAGTCGACTTTACTAATGAATGAAAATAAAAGGTCGACAATACCCGAATGAAAATTGTAAAGTGCGTTAGTGCACTCAAGATGAAAACAAGGGTTGAATCACTAGAAAAACAAAAATGGTCGTAATCTTCAAAATTCTCAGTTATTGACTTTTTCCTTACCAACAAGAGAAATCTTTCAGGTTCACGGCCAAAATGGGCCTGTGGCAAAACTTCCAGCTTTCGATTTTCGTTCTAAGCGGCGAGAAATGCCCTTTAACCAAAGCCATTGAATACGTAACTTTTGATTTGTCTCTTTGCATTTTGGTTTTCTTCCCCTTCTAGAGCTGTTGAAACGTATCTGTCTGTAAGAGAAACGGATTTTTCAGTGTTTTAGCAGCCATGAATTCTGACTAACGACCTTGAATTGAGAATCGTAACTTTGCCGTTCGTTCATCAACCTGACAGAGTGGCGCGAAAGGCTAATGACGTGTCTGTACCTGATTGGCGAAAAAAATACCGGTGGAAAAATTCTCGTATTACAGCTGTGATGAAAGCAGAAAATGTCGTGAACATAACGTTTTTAAGTGAAATTAAAAAACAAAGGTTTTCTTTAAATTTACGTAAGTTACAAGATATCTCGGTTTGTTACATGTTCTCTTTGTCTCATCATGGAGCGAAAGAGGGTCTGCCAACGGAAACTTTTTAAATCATTTGAGAATCTTCCAAGACTCCGTGTACAACGAAAAAGATAAAGGCCGCGCGAAACGGGATGGAACGGAAAGTGTAACAACCTATTACGGACGTATGTACGAACCCACGAATTGGAAATAAAAGCTTTTCGTTAAATGTTGTACCTTTCGGGATGTCTACGGTCATTTTCACTTTCCAACACAAGACAGTGATTTCCTTGGCCTATCAAGGAGAGAAAATAATTTGTCAACATACAATTTCCAAAGAATCTGCGAGGCTTTTTCGGCTCTGCATCTCACGCAAAAACAACAAAGATCAAGGTCGCGCGAAACGACATGCCCTTAAGGGACCTGGTACACGGTTGGCCAATCCCAGCATTCATTCTAACCTTAGTATGGGTAAAGTCACGTATTGTGTAATGTTCTTAAAAAAAAGGAGAATAAAGGCCTCAATTGGGTGCCGGAGGAACACCGTATGGCACTCTTTGTTTAATTTACATTCTTTATTAACTATTCATAAAGTGGGTACTTTGTCGAGGATATGTTAAGTGATCCAATCGATCAGTGAAATGATCGACACGTTCATTTATATTGCAGGACACACCATCATTAAATCGTACAACATGTAGAGTATGCCCTGATGGAGTGATGTGCAGAATGTTTGACACGTGTTGTCCATGGATGAGTCCTTGGGAGTATTCATGTTGTCCTCTACCAAATGCTGTTTGTTGCCCTGACCTTGAAAATTGTTGTCCGGCAGGATACATTTGTTCTCTTGCTTATGGAGGGTGTATATCTGAGCACAAATTTCATTAATGTCATTGACTAAATACGATGTTTCGGCACTTATTATCGGGTGATAATTTGACTGAATACAAAGCCAATCCCTCTTTACCTTGACAATCAGTCGGGTAAATTTATAAGGCGTTGAAAATATTAAAATCTGGAAATAAAGAAGGAATACATAAAAAACATAGGCATTCTATGCATGCAAGAGTTATTTTTTTGGGGTGGGTGGATTACTTGAAACATTGCAAGTGATGTCTATATATTCTTTTACAAAAGGAAAAAAGAGTATTAACGCAGAAAAGAACGAAAATGTCGAATTAACTCACACACAGGTATTTTGTGGTAGATTGTGTGTGTTGTTCGGGTTACTGTAACCAAAAATAAACTGTATTGGTGGCACGGATTCCTGTTAGTACAAAATACAGACTGCAGACTGCAGACCGGATACAAAATGTAGACTAGGTACAAAATGTAGACTGCAGAGTGGGTACAAAATGCAGACTGAGAATCTAAAGAGTTTTTTCGTCTGGTATGTGATAACATGTCATCTTACAACTTACCGAGCGTCACGCGATCAGCTTTCACGATTATTTTCACTAATTTGGAATATTTTTTAGTCCGTTTCTTGATCAAAATCGATCTTAATATAATTTCAAGCCTTCATATAGCCTTCTCACTTTGCGTGCGAGTTGGTTGGTGTGATGTCTGTACAGATTTTACCAACGTAATAAAAGTAGATGTATATGTAAATAAGATGTCACTATTGAATATTTAACACGCACAATATTCGACATCTTTGCACGTGGTCCGTATTATCATCTTTTTAAGCGGTATGTGTTTATTTTGTTGAGACCAAAACTGTTCCTTCGACTTTATATATTTTCGACGTTAGTAAATCACATCATATTAATTTACCTCCGTAAATCATTCATTCCAGACTGAAAAAAATCAAATAAACATGCCAACGATGGTATCTGAATTCGTCCATGGCCAAACACAAACGACTCCACAAGATCACTTTCTCCAGGCATCGAAAACATACACAAAATCGTCCATAGTTAATTTTAATCAGACATTCATCCAGAGATAGCACCGAGCAAACCAATCCAGAAAAATATAATCGACACACTCAACAAATCACGAATCTTGCAACACAGCTTGCCGTTAAAGAACTGCTCAAATCAATATGTTTGGTGCAATTCATCAACACCCCAAGCAATATTTGCTTCAAAATTTTTCCACTCACTCTCGTCGTGAAGGAAAATTAACCATGATCGTGCTACAGTGCACAGAACTCCATTTTCTCTCAAACAACTATCCACCATTTTCACAGCATGAGTAACACCTTTACTATAGGTAATCTGTTATCTTTCATCTGTGCAGTAGGATCGCATTTCTCATAAAGCGCGGTAAAATATACGTTAAAAACACAGAAAAGCCAATATTTCTCATTCTGAAAGATGATTCCATTTTACGAACTGCTCTCTCCGAATCCCCCATTACTTCGTTGAAATTTGAACACCTCTCAAACCAAAGAACAAAAACGACGCTCTGATTGGTGTGAGATACATACCCTAATTGGGTGATCTGATTGGTGCGAGATACATTCCCGAAACGATCTAATCGGTGCGAACAACATACCACTCTCTATACGCTGACATAGATGTCATTAAAAAATAATAATAATAATAACTCAAAAACTATCGGAGTACTTCGATGTAAATGACGTTGTGGTCATGAGATTCTTAAAGAAAACACAATAAAACCGCAAACGATAGCACAAAATATCTTATTTATTTTGTTCAAAATCTAGGTTCTCTTAAAAGCTCTCAGTAGCGCAAATGTATATTTGACAACCCCAAAGCAAGCTGTCTGAAAAGCGTACAGTCACATGATTCCATAGCATTAGAAAAAATTCAATTAAAGGCCTGAATATTCGGCCTCGGTTTGAAACGGGCTCACATCTTGGCGAGCCTTAGGCTGCCTCGTGCCAGTTGCTAGCGATTTAAATTTTCACTGCGATGCTGGATCTGCAGAAATGAAACAAATGATTTTTAAGATTGACTCTTTTCTTTACGACTAACGGTTAAAATTTTTCAATTTTTACGCCTTACGGATAAATTTTCGGCCGCTTTACAGCTTACTGTTAACTTTATTGAGACCTTCTCAACTGTGCGATTACCTCAGGTTGAGTGCAGAATCTCTCACAATCCGTAGTTTGGTAAAGATTTTTCCTTAAATGCCTGTAATCAACCAGACTGGTTCAGCGGCAAATAAGTGAGTGGTTATAGAAAGATTCCTGGTCGTAGTGTCATTGCAGTTTCGGTGGAATGTTCCTTTACTAAGGCGCAGCGCGAAAATAGAATAAACTTTTGGACACAGCTTTATTTAAACAATCACAGAATAAACCGAAGTATTTCTTCTTACTGCGTATTTTACCTTCAGTCTTTTGATTGGTCAGCGGTAGCCAGCCGCGACTCCACCTTTGCGATAATCTGCTAGTGCTAGTAGCTCTCCGTCATCCTTTCGTACAACAAGTTGAACCACGCCCATGATCTGTAATGGCGTTCCTGAAAGAGAAACAGAACTAACGCTTCACTTAAATCGTAACTTTGAGCTGAACGTTCCCACTAACGGAACTGTCCGACCAACTAGTTCCATTGAATTGAAAGTGGACTTAGATTACTAAAAGTTGGGAAAAACGGTGGCATAATGGTTAGGAGGATAGACTCCGGATCCAGAGTACAGACTTTACCGCAAAATTCTTAATGAAACCATAATCACCTGTGAATAAGGTTGTATCATTTGTGATTCGCTTGTGTCCATACCGCTTTAATCCTTTGATGTACTTTTCTGGAAAATTTGGTTCAACTAAGACAATGCTTGGGAATAATTGACTGTGAAGACGTGGCTTGGATACAGCATCTTTTAAACTGTCGCCAAACCAGAAGTAGTTCATAAGTACCTAAGGAGATAAAGGATATGCGCATACAAGAAGGCGCTAAAAAGGTTTCTTTGCATGCCCCGCGATTGTTCGGGCGAGGTATGTTTCCGTATTTTCCCTCTTTAATTGTCTCCTCGAGGCACATTTTTCGCAGGCGCACGAAGATGAAGAAATGGTGCGGAAATTTTTTGTGCTCCTGTCCCTGGTCGGTCTGAGGTAAAAGTCTTAAGCTTGGCTGTTTTACTATGTCTTAACAAGATAGCAGCACCTCGCATCTTTTCTCAAATCGGGCCATACTTTGAGGTTGGCTTTTACTATAGAATAAAGGATAAGCTCAATTGCGAGGCCATTTTATTCATGCGCACGACTTCTCTGTTAGCTCACATATTAAGGAAAGGTGACTCCCCCCTTGAGTATTGTGACCTCGCCTCTAAGTGAACATCCTAGAGGAAAATACATTCTGGACGAGCATCAACAATTACTGACCTGTGATAACGCAGTTGCGATGTATTTTCCTCCAGCGGCTCCGATAACCATCCTAACATTCCCTTTCCCATCTAGAATGATGGACGGAGAAGCAAGAGACATCGGTCTTTTACGAGGTCTCAGAGAGTCCGCTTTCAAATTGAATTCGTTAACATACAAGTTTATAGCATCCCACAACTGATCATTGTAAATGATTCCGAGTTCCAAGCTGCGCAGTTTTGCTCCGAAACTGTAGAAGAACCAAATAGTGTTTCCTAAATTAGATGTTCATAGAGTTACTCAAAAAAAGTATGCTTTAGTGTTATAATGATAATGGCGAGGACGATAATAATAATGGTGGCAAGGAGAGCAAAAGAGGTGGTGATAATTATGATAATAAATCCATGATAATTATGATAATAAATCAATGATGATTATGATAAAGATGCTAAAAAAGGTGGTCACCATTACTATAATAATATAATTATTCGTACTGATGATTACGGTGTTGCTTATTACTCTCCGTTTTTCTAAAAGGAATCTAGTTATCTAATGGTAGGATTCAGTGTTCTCGGCACATTAATTTTTGTGGCTCACTTTAAAAGGCTACTCAAGACGCCATTGTGAAACTGAAAAGGTTATCCGACTGTTTCTATAATCAATTATATTCTGCTCACTATTTATTAATTGATGTCGTTATGGAAACAGCATTTCCTTCTTCATCCAGTACAGACAAGTGAGTTGTACCATCTGTCACGTCAATATGATAGTTAATAGGTCCATAATAATCATATGAGTGGGTCGTGTCATCTATTTTTTGCCGTAGTTTTTCTCCTTCTTCAGGATCCAGCATTTGGCGAACGATCTGTCAAAGAAGATGAGTACAGGATCGTAATATCGAAGACATTCCAGTTCTGGGAAGATAGTAAGCGAGTGAACTCTAAAACATCGTCCAATCACACAAGTTAATAAAAAAAAAACATAATTGCCGCTAGATTTAAGACTTGCTTAAGGGTTACCTCGTCTACTTTATCGTCGAATGCAGGATCTGTGAGATACGTTTCCCTTGCGGCTACAAAATTGAATGCTTCAATCATTCGGTGATATGTCCGGACGGGGTGTTTTTTCATGTCTTCTGGTCCAAAATTGTAACCTTTTTAAACGAGAAAATATTAAACTAGCCGCATTACTGTCGAAAATCTTCGAGAGAGCTTTTCAGCTTGGTATAACGATCAATTCTTACATATTGCATACTCTTTACATATTCTGTGGTATTGAAAATGAGAACTTGACTGACAATCTAAAGCTTCTAAAGTTGGTGATCATTATTTTCTTCGTCGTCATGACCTTTACATTTGATTCAAGGGTGACACTGTAAGGAGAAACTAGGAGCTAGTCAATTATAGGAGCTAGGGGGTTAAGAACCCCTTTTTAAGGCAGACGGAAAGAATTTAATTTCTACTCTTTGCTTTGCACCGTTTCGGGAAACAATTTGAAAATTGAGCATTTGTTTCCTTTTTAGTTCTATTCAAGGCTGAGAAGAGAGAAAGAGTAATCACATCCTTTCAAATCCGTCATTTGTGTTTGTTGTAAAAGTACGCAGTCACAGCAGTTTTATATGTTCCTATATGCAAAGGTGATCTACATAGTCTTTCAGACCATATTTTTCTATGATAGAAAAAGGAGATCTTAGCTGAATCTTATTTCGTAGCAGAGTCGAAATGGTCTGAGTTGACTCACCCTTCAAAATGTTCAGGATGTCAATTAAGGCTACTCCCCCTGCAGGAGGTGGGACGGTCAGAATTTTGTATCCCTTCACTCCGGGAAGGTCTGTCTCCAATGCTTTGAGTTCAGATGCTTCATAATTTTTAAAATCTTTTAAGGATATCTTGGAGCCAACAGATCTGAGATCTTTAACAATCTGTGAGTTTTAACAAATAGTTTGCTTTAGCTAAATGGTTAAAGATACCGGGAAGTTTCACGATGGGAAAGTAAGAAATGTTTCAATTCATTTTATCTACTGTGTTCTGTCGTCGCTGTTTTATCTTTTCTTTATCAATCAGCTGTTTTTTAGTAACCTAATTTTCATTTCATAACACTTATTACCTTATCGTTATTTTTTTCATTGATGTTATCGTTATCATTTTTCGTTATTTTGATATCGCTATCGTTCCTTAGCTTAGTCAAACCGTTGCCTCCTACATGCCGTGCTGTATACAACCATTACTACCATTGATACATATGACCATCTTCGTGATTGCGCTGTCACTATCAGTTTCGTAGTCCATAATTCAGTCGTTATAGCTGTAACATCCTTTCGCATACTTTTTGTTGTTTATTCTTATCATGAAACACGCTCTGGGTGAGAGAATGCGTCGTGCAACTATACCAAACATAGACTTACTGAACAGATGCATTCTCAAATAAGATAAACTCGTCGCAAAGCTTAAATTGTGAAAACAAAGGCTTATTTTTTGCAGTCTTCATAATCGAGAAGACCTAAATCTTGACGTTATTTTACCTGTTTCGCCATTTTTCCTCGATAGAAAACATCAGCACCGCCTTCAGCTATCTTCTTTAAAGTTTTTCCATATTTTGTTCGCTTTATAACGTCGCCTTCCTTAACAAATTGACCGTTTGGCTTGAACAACTCACTGCAAGGAAAATGGAATGATGTAAAGTTGACAGGAAATTATATCAACAAGGGCTGTACATAGGTACATTGCTCCATCAATATACAAAAAACGTCCCCATACATTATTGATAAGTATTTCAGCAACAGATTACTTAGAATAAACAAGTTAATCTTGATCATCCGGATCAGAGCAGTTCTGAGAATACCTTTTGATGGTAGTAGTGACTAAGGTTTCGGCAACCTGAGAGGAAGTTGTTATCAGGGTCAATTCAAGTCAACTTGACTACAATGATGACTTCGCTAAGGTTGAAGAAACGGCAGTGACTTATACCGACAATAGTCTTTTTACTTCATTTAAGCTACTCAGCTTACTCACTGTCTATGACGAAATAGATAGCGACTAGCGCAGCCAATCCGATTGCAGAATTCATGAAAGAAGCCTTCTTAGATTAAGACATAATAATCAGCTTTAGGGTGTAAACGTGATTTAAAATAACAAAAAAACCTCTTTCTCTAGTTCAGAAGGAAGTGCAAGCAACTAGAAGTCGTATTTTAGTATTCAGGGATTAATAACCTATATGAAGAACCTTTTAAGTTTGGAGGGAAAGAGAATGGTACACTCTAAACTCTATTAGATGGTAACAATACGCAAAACAAAATAGAAGCAATTGATTTTATTTGGAATGTTTACTGTATAGCTCGGATTCAAGAGAGGCCACATAATCCTTCAAAAAACGTTTCTAGCATTTTTAGTAAGACAGTAAAGTTCGAACTCAGAAATAAAACGTAATTTTATGATGTTTATGAATCGTACGACCGAGTAAATATTAGACATGAAAGTTAAAATCCTTAAGTATCGTGGTTCTTATTGATTCATCACTGTCCCATACTATTTACCTATACTTACTAGAAATTTTCTTTTCGCTTTCCACAATTAAAAGACAGTGGCTCTTTTACAAACCGAGTCATATAAGATGATAGTACCCACCTTAATCCTGGATCACTTGACACGTTTGCTGCGTTCTTTTCAACAGCAGCTAAAATGGCAGGAGTCGCGGGAAAACCATTGGTAGCAATCTCAATTGCAGGTCGAAACAGATCTTTCCAGGGAAGTCGGCCATACTTTTTCCACGCCATCTCAAACCCTCGCAATTCTCCAGGTATACCGATGAATTCTCCTTCCCCAGGGTTTCTCGTTTTGATCTCTTTTAGGAAATTTAAATCACAACTGTGTCATAGTGTTATCGTGAGACATTACGAAATAAAATAAAACAAAGAAAGAAAAAAAAGGAGAAGACTCGCGTAACACCGGATCTTCCCCCCCCCCTCCCCTTAGCATTTCAAATCTCCCAGAGGGATTCCTCATTGTGCGAGAGTTTTCAGCTCACCCCTCCCTTGTGGGGAGGACCATGCATAAGTTACTTCCATATATGGACTTGACCACGTGCGAGAATTGTGAGAGCGAGAAACGGTTTGTGAGAGAGAAGAAATCAATCGTTTACGACGGGATTAAAACGGATAAAAACACAAAACATCGTTTCGTTAAGAGTGTTTGTAAGAAAACATGTCACTTGTAACCCATTTATACTACTGGGTGGAGAGAGGCACAAAGACAGGAACGCAAGTCGCCTAGGAGCATAAAACTTGACAAACTTGACTAATCTTCGAGTTGGACCTCTCTATCCGGAGACTCTCGCAAAGGGAAAAAGCTCGCAATGTTGAAATGAATATCGAGGAAAAAATTCATGAAAGACACATGCCATGAATATCAATATGACATCATTGCGTTTTCGAATTGGTCTCACCTCTTTCTTTCCATTCAAACATTAAATGTTGCAGGTCTCTCATGGAATCGGCTTTTTCAAGGGCTGCAACCGTTTCTCTAAAATTGATCGACCTTGTCTTTCCTGAAATTTATTAGACAAGTAACTTAGTGTTCAGGTTATATTATGCTGCGGGGAAATCAAGTAAAAGGCCTGAATCTGTCATATTGGCCTAGTGTCAAACTGAGTTCTTTCAAAATCTTAGCCTTGAAATATATAGTCTTCCAGGAGAAAATTTAGCATGCTATGGCGTTTTTCTTTTTTAGCATGTTGTCAACAGAAAGAGACCCCTCGTGAAATTTTCACATGAGGAGTAATTCACAATTAAGGATCTGTTATTTCTAAATCCTCCTGGACCACTCACATTCTGAATGCTTCAGGAAAAACTACGGAGAAATTACCCTTGGAATAAGGGATAATGGCTCCATCTTTCGCTCTGACGAAGGGTCAAATTTCGAAACGTAAGCTCTAGAAAGTCTTTACGGCGCCCAACTTGTTACCCGGGGTATATTGTATGTAGCTTGGGAAGAGGGATGGGAGAGAGGCCTCACTCTCTCATTGAAAAATGTGAAGTATACCTGACATCAGCATTGACCACAGTAATGTTGCTTTAGCCAGCAGCAGCCACGAGTGCTTGCAATGAATATATTTACCCTTCATCATAAACCTTTGCCCGTTTTTTGCGCAAAAAAAAAATAACTCATACCTCAAAATCTTTCGACATTAGACAAGTCTATACCGTAATGCTCTCTTAGTTGTTTTTTAAAAACAAGTATCATGCAATTTGTATCAGCAACAAATACAATCTAACGAGCATCATCATTTCATTTCATTGCCTTTTGGATTGAAATTTTTAAACTTGTAGATGCTTATCAAACTGATTCTTCTATTTTTTTTTTCGATTTTCCAAAAGTGAAAAAGGTATAGTTTGAAAAAAAAAAGAACTTAGTAAAGTAAATAGTTTGAACCCAGGAGTATCAATAGTTCGTATAGTGTGATCGTCCAGGTGAGTGTAGTTCTGAAAAGAACTGTTGTTGGTGACTGACGTTTCGACAACCTGTGCGGAAGTCATCTTCAGAGTCAAGTAGAGAGTAGTTGTCAGTCGATGATGTTATAAAGTCTGGTCTGTTAAACGTGATTGGTCTGTTTAGCCGAGATATGATCGGCTGGAAGACTCGTGTAGAGTTTGTTAACAGTCATTGGTCGGTTTCGATCCGTCTGTTGTTAGTCGGTCTGTTTGTCGGTTTGTTCACGTCGTTAATGAGTCGTTTGTAAGGTGCCGGTAGTTGTTGACATCTGTTGAGAGGCGTCTGTTCTAAGTTGGTAAACCAGCTTTCCAAAGTCAGTCGTTGAAAATAGTTTGTACTGTAGGTTTAGCATTTAGCAGAGTCCCAGTCGATTCTGTGATTAGTTTGTCGGTGATGTTCAGAAATGTGATTGTTTACATCGCCATTTCTAGTTGCTCGTTTGTGTTCAGTTAGTCGCGTGTTAAGGTTTCTACCAGTCTCACCAATGTAGGAGGCCTGGCAGTCGGAGCATTCGATCTTATAAATCGCTCCCTGTCTGTTGTTGGGTTGGTCTTTCTCTTTAACGTTGGTCAGTAAATGTCGTGAAGTAATAATAGGCTTGTGAGCTACGCGAATGTTGTAGGGTTGTAGGATCCGCGCGATAGCCTCAGAAGTGCCTTTGATGTAGGGTATAGTAGCTGTAGTCGTGACAGATGTGGAGTCCCTGTTAGTTTCTGTAGTGTCGGTCGCCTTGTGAGCGTTTCGTATCATGAAGTCAGTGTTGTAGTTGTTTTTGTCAAAAACACGGTCAAGGTACTTGTTTTCGTCAGATAAACTGTCTGGTGTGTTGCAAACAAGTTGCGCTCGCAGTCAAAAGTGAAAAGCAATAACGCGTAATGGCGGCTGTGTCTTTGATATAATGATATGGATAGTATTATAATTGATGACAATGAAGTTAAATCTACCAAGTGTTTAAAACTTCTTGGGGTATATATAGACAATAGGCTTCAATTTGATGAACACATTGCTAACATTTGTAAGAGGAGTAGCCAGCGTGTTGGAGTCCTGATGAGGCTCAGGAATATGATACCAACAGACACCAAGCTGAAGTTGTTTAAGGCAGCCATTCTTCCGTATTTAACATACAGCCATCTTGTCTGGCATTTTTGTAGGGCAGTGATACTAGAAAATTGGAACGTATTCAAGAAAGGGCACTTAGGGCAGTTTACTGTGATAAGGGGAGTAGTTATGATAAATTATTAGACATGGCTAACCTAAGTACACTGCAGAACAGAAGACTACAGGACATAGCCATTATTATGTATAAGGTAAAGAACAATTTATCTCCTAATTACATATGTAGCCTTTTTCAAATTCCACAACTTAGGTACACACTGCGTAATAATGATTTTGGTATACCTAGATTTAATACTGTCACTTTTGGAAAACATTCGCTTAGATATATGGGACCCAAAATATGGGCAATTGTACCAAGAAATGTAAGAGAACTGACATCCATATCATCTTTTAAATGTAACATACGTAGAATAGACCTTGTTTCTAAATTGACTGATAGTAAATGTGAAAACTGCCTTTTATGTAAGACTTAGGTTAGATTTTAAATTGTACATATATATTGTTTTATTTTTAAATTTCTCAAATTTTTAGGTAGTATTTAGTGTCCCCAGTTAGTGGTTGTATAACTGCTATTTTAGATTTGACACATAAATAAAGGTTGTATGTATGTATGTATGTATGTGTATTAAGTATCACAACATAAGGGTAGCACAAGATTTCCGATCATCGAAGCGTGACATACTTTGTTGTGACCACTGTAATGTCATTGCAAGGTGTAACACTTGTTTAATTCGCGCGATATGTATAAATACAAATGCTACACAGCTGATGGTGCATTTAAATGAGTTGGAGACTCACCACTTTTCTTGTCATAAACGATCATGAATCCTCCACCTCCAATACCCGCTGAATGGGCGTTCACCACACCCACACACAGCGCAGTTGCAATGGCGGCGTCCACGGCATTTCCATTTTGAACTCGTAAAATGTCTGCACCGTATTCTGAGCACTTTTTGTAATCTGCTGACACAGCAGCAGTTTTGAACTCCAGGGGTTCGGAAGGTGGAGCAAGAGGTGGACTAAAAGAGAGATGTTTTTTATTATTTTTTCGTAAGTTGAGCCGAACCTGAATAATGTGTTCAAGCGAATCGCTTACTTTGATCTTATGCCTGGGTTCCGTTCAATTTTCGCGAAATTGGGGCGATCGTAGACAGAACACCTTTCAAATCATTCCGGGCTCAGTTGTTCGAAGGTTGATTAGTGCTAACCCAAGGTTAAATTTTAATCTAGATTTTCTTTATTCCTTTATTCAAATGCCTCGTCGGGATAGTTTTCCGTGTTCTTTATAGAGCATCAAATAATCACATTATAGACAAAAAGAATTCGATTGAATTTTCTTTAAAAACTGTCAGATCTGAAATTTGATTTCACACTAACCCTGGGTTATCTTAACCTAGCTTTGAACAACCCGGCCCCGATCGTCTTTGCACTGTTCGGGATAGTCGGGTAGAAAGAAAGGTGAAAGAACCAGATTTAGATCGGCTTAGTTTAGGGATAACAATTTTTTTTCCTTGAGTTAACGTTTGTGATTTGTTAATTTAAAGAATGAAGGCATAGAACAGACATGAAATCCAAATTAATTTAGCCTCTTTGATTTCCAATCAAAATGGAATATAAGCAATTAAGTATCACTAGCAAAGCGTGGCACAAGATTTCCGACCATTGAAGTGTGAAATATTTTGTTGTGACCACAGTAATGTCATTGCAGAGTGTTTCTAGTTCGCACATAAGTGTCTCGGCTAACCGGAATCTTCAATCCACGATTTTCACTGGTCTGAAACAATCCGTTTCAGAAAAATTGTGCTCCTGGCTCGAGGACGTACTTGAGACCACGGGCATAGTTTTTCTATACGGACTTCCCACTGAGTAAATAATTAGTTATTTTCATTTTGAGTCACAAACAAAATCATGTGCAATCAAATTCCATGTAGCAACTTCATCAAACGAATATTATACCGTTGAAATTCAAATTCTAATCAACAGCAGTATTCACGAGTGAATTTGTTTGAATAAAGGATCAAAAGAAGAAAACATCACAACAGGTTTAGCCAGAAGAAAGATATTTGAGAGTCATTGATTGCATGCGAGGTAGACCACCCCTGAGGCTAAATATTTCTATCATAAAAAATACATAAAAGACCAGTCATTGTCCATCGCCTGAGGGGCTGGGGATTAGTGGATTTTGGGGAGATGAAATGGTTTTCAAACGATACGAAGAGGCGATCAGTCGTCGCCAACAGAGTATGAACAGGGTGGAAGGAAATACAGAAAATTGTCTCCCAATCAACTGCCAATGAGAGGCGATCATAAAAATAGTATGAAGCCTTATTAGGGGAATCACGATGACCGGTTCTTTGTCTACATGGTACAGTTGCATCCTGTGCGACGTCGAGATAATTAACTATCGAGGCAAAGCTGGCCGTTCCAAGTTTCGTGGACATGATCCACATCCTGTTTTTGTTGTTGGTCATGCAGGAAAGAGCATTTTGAAATGCTTTTATCCTCTTTAAGTACTTGAAGTACTGTCTGATTTCTTTTCAAACAGATTTTTGAAAGGCCTTCTGAGAGCAAAACGTCGAGCAAACAAGTCGATAATGAACTTGTCAACGTTTTTCGGTTTGACAAAACTCAAACATTTGACTAAAGAAATGACTTGTTTACAGAAAATAACAACGCCAAAACAAATCAAACGATGGGGATTTTAAAGGTCTCTGCAATTTCTAAAAACCAAGAAAAACGAACGCTGAATGCGGGAGAAGTTAAATCCTAGCAAAATCCGCCGGTACCGAGATATCCTGTCGATTTTCCCGCCCTCATCGAGATCAACTGAATAAGCTTTGTAAACATATCATTTATCAAAATTAAACCAAAGCACGAGAATGTGTTTGTATTTTGGTCTTCTCTTACCTTCTTCTTTTCAACGGGGCTTTTTGTTGTGGGACAATCAAATGATTTATAGCTTCATGAATCTGTTTACCAATTCCGGTTACATACACAACTCCTCCCAAGGCACACAATACTGTCACAACAGCGAGAAGCCGTCGGCACACAAAATGCGATTTTCCGCCGGAAATTGTTGAGTCGGCCATGATCGTGAAAATCTAAGACTAGCCAGTGAATGAGAAACTTTACTTTTTCCACTCAAGGGAAGTGGGAATTAATATTTAAAGCATTCTTACAAGCGTTCTGTAAGCTGAGATTTCACACTAGCTCTGACTTTCCCACCTGCTACTAAACGCCCGTTTCTTTTCTTGTGCTTAAAAAGCGTAAACAAACTTACAAGTTAAAAAAATCAACTCTTTCATTCATCCCAAAAGAAATTGACACAACTGATCAAGCAAATCGCCAGGTAGCATGGAGAGTAAACTCACGACTCGCTGTTATTTCTGCGCATGCTCGCTGGAGGCCTTATCTGTATAATCTCAGGGAACCTGAGGCAACTCTCCCCACACAAGAAAAATTGGAGCTAGTTTGGCGGACGTTTTCCCGCCTAACAGAGTAACACTGTCTGCCTACGCGAGAAAAACTCGTCCACTCAAGTCTCGCTACAAAGACGATATCGCGATTCTCGTGTAAACAGCCGGTTGAGTTTTTCAAATAAATGATTAAAGAGTTAGACAAGGGTAGCCGGGGAAGGTGGGGGCTTTTCTCGAACAACCTAAAGTAAATAGGTTCTTGCAATCAAAAGAAAAAAATTGACTCTTTTTCTAAAGGCCAGAGTAAGTGCGATCCTATAGCAATCGCAGCACTTAACGAGTTCCACAAGTCGCGCTAGGCCGTCAACATATTAAAATTTATCTCCGTTTTTCTAGACGTATATGAAGTTAAGAGCATCAAAGAAGCCTACAATCAGCGTCAAAATTAGTTGACACATCACGTTTGAAATGTTCTGTTTATGTGTAGAACAACACCTGTCTTAACCGCAGTTAACCCTTGAACTCCCAAGATCTCATTAATAATTCTCCTTACTGTCTACCAAATGATTTTCATTGTGTTAGCTTGGAGAATTTGGTATCGGATCAATTAGTAATCCCATGATTGCCATTTTTCTTTTTTCTCATCGCTTGTCTGCATGATATTGTATAGACATAATATGGAGAAATTCTGCCTTGCTCACTCATGAGAGTGAACAGACATGACTAAGACGGACGGCTAAAGGATTAAAATCATTGGCAAGACCCCCTCCCCCAATTAATATTGCCTGTATGTAGCTAAAAGTTTATGGAATCACGATACAAAATTTTTTGAGGGAGAAGATACAAGAGTCTGGACGGCGAATGGAGGAAGTTTCTCTGTGAAGAGCATCTAGGATAATAGAATTCCCAAGAATTGCTGTGATGGAAAGAAGAGTGCTAACTGCTGACAAGGAAATTAATTCCTGTTGAAGACCACACACCAAAGAGGGAGGTATAGTGGTTATAGAAATTATTTCATCGGTGATCTACTTGTACGGAAATTTGTCGTCGACACCACTCTGAGTTCGTTTCCTTTTTCTTGTAGGCTATTTGAGATTGCAAAAGGTGAATATTCCTTCTTAACAGCACACACCGCACTCCCTTGATAACATCCATAGAAAGACTTTTCTCACTTGGGTTTACTTATTAAAAAATATGTCAGGAAATTGTCTGTTATGTCAAGAGAGGGAATTTTTCCCCTCAAACTTGTCATGTTTCTCAGGGATGAAATAATAATTATAAAGCAAAAAATAGAGACATCTGTTATCTCTTTTTTAAAAGGGCGACAAACAATTACTATTTTCCTGGATCAAATTTCATTGATAGCGCTAATCAACTGTCCGAATCACCTGTGTGATGTTGAGACTGACATGAATATCAGCCATAACCAACTGAAACAAAGGAGCCCAAGCTGGCGCTATGACTTGGCGGTGCAGGAAATGTTGAATTCCTGACAGTCCCTGAAGGTATCAAACTATTGAAATTTAAATTTTAGTCACAGATGCGAACTTATTTTAGAATATTCTAATAGATTTATAATATATAAAGTTTTGCAGTCTTCTTCACTCCGTTTTGCATGCTTAAAAAAAAAATTTAACAAAACTGTGACAGGGTTTTGCGCTATCAAAAAAATATTTTTCTCTTATTTTGTTCCTTACCTGCTTTCTTTCTTTCGTCGGCAAATTCATAGAGATTGCCTTTAGCAACGACAAGCAAAAGTTAAGCTATTTAGTTTCCTTTCTAAGTCTGGTTAATGAGTTGAGGAAAATGTTTTTTAATTAGTAAGCTGCTCTATATACGGCACGTCATTGAATTCTAAGCTTGTTATTGCGATTAACTGGCGCGGTTAACAATTCGTCTTTTATCACGACGGTTACATCCTGATAATGAAGTGAAAAAAACAATTTATCTATCGCGGTCGGAAATCAATTGATAGATGCTTAGGAATTATCAAAACTCGCCGAACATTTATTTCATTCTAACTTCATCAAGAACATTTGCTCAAAAATTCATCTTAGGCGTTCGCTCCATAACCACGAAATGTCTTTTAAGTTTTTTCTCAGAGGTCATGGTTGTGTGCAGTCAGGAGCCTATCTCTTCCTGTTGTGTGTTATAGAAATTAAAACAATAGACAATATGTAGGTAAAAAAGCAATTCTAGCCTGTTGCTTTTCATTCTGGCTTTGTGGATTGACCACGTTTTTATTTTAACACTCCTGACGACAGGTCTGCGCGTTGCATTTCTGGTATTCTACTGGTATGTACAACAGGCTTCGCTCCAGCCATGCTTTTCCACCATTGGACGGTGGGGGTTTTCGCAGGTTCTCATGCGTTTCTGGGTTCCTCCAACGGAGAAGTAATTTAGGATTCAAAACACGAAAAAAAAATTCTGTTCTTCAGGAATGAGCATTTAACCCAGTTTTTCCGGGATGGTCATCTTGAGGCAAGTCATTACTGGGACAGCTGAAATAAATTCGTTACATGTCTCTCATCTCTATTGCGCATGACTGAAAATAAAAGCAGTTCGGTCTTTTTTTAGCTAGATTTTGAGAACGGGTCGGTAGAGTTCCAAGGGCCCTTCGTTTCATTGACAAACATAGGAAAAAAGGCGTAAACAGGTCATAAAAAGGCGAAGTGAAAACAAATTGCTTATTAAGCTTTTATTTTTCAATCTTATGATCACTTTTTCAGTCTCAAGATTAAGCAGAATTGGCCCCCTTCCTATGACCAAAAACTAATTTTGCAGAAGATGATGCAAGGTTAGGGGCAAAAATAAAAAGAGCTTTGCTAGATTTTGAGGACGGGTCGATAGAGTTCCAAGGGCCCTTCGTTTCATAAACAAACATAGGAAAAAAGGCACAAACAGGTCATAAAAAGGCGAAGTCAAAACAGATTGCTAATTAAGCTTTATTTTTCAATCTTATGATCACCTTTTCAGTCTCAAGATTAAACAGAATTGGCACCCCTCCTATAACCAAAATCTAATTTTGCAAAAGATGATGCAAACAAAAAAAAGAAAAAGGATCTTAGCACATCAGTCCAAAAATCAACAAAATCCTGCATTATTGTTGTTTTATCTTTTCACAAGCAACATTCGTCTTCACAATCTTCACCACCATTTTCCAAACACTCGTCAATACAATTTTCATCTCTGTCCCCATATCCGCAGGGATCATTGGAGACGTCATCGAAGGATGGCCTGTCAATGTTTTCTTCAAGACAAAAACAAATAGTTTTGATGAGATTTTTGGACATTTTTGATCATTTCCCCCCAAGATGTGACTCAACGATGTGAGGTTACATACAACTTACAATTAGGATATCGAATGCGGTGTCCATTCCAATTTGTGACGATGAAGCAGCAGACAGTTCATTCTAGTTTCATTGTTCTCAAAATGAGTTTTCATCGGTTTTCAGATAGGTAGCCATAAATCTCATCTCATCGTAAGGCTTCGTTTTAATGTATAATTGATATTGAATGTGTTTTTCAAGAAGACTGAGTGCAGACCGAAGTTTGAATGTTAAAATACCAAACTTGATATTGATCTGTATTTTTCATATCCACTGTTAAGTCACAACTTATTTTCAAATCTAGTTCCGGACATTTTGACTATTTCTTTCTTTACATAAGGTATTTGGGAGTTAATCATAGGATTTAAAGTATGTTTTCAAGCTCTGTTCTTTCAGCGTTCTAAACCTTCATAGGAATTCGAAATGTGAAGATTTTTTCAAATGAACATTGTCAAGAGTGCCGAAAGTTAGCAGTGGAAGCATTTGTTAGCATTTATTTCATGTAAACAAACCTCTTATGGAGAATAAGCAGGGCCCACTACTTGCGTAAAACCGTGGTTTAAATAATCAGCACAAAATGTTTCTCGTTGATACGCAATTGTAAGTTCATTCTTGTAGACAAAGAAATATTCTAAGTTTCAAAAAAAGCCCAAGACATTTCAAACGCTGAGACTCATTCCCAAAATATTGCTTAAATCCATCTTGATTTTTAAACTTTCTTTATACTTTCCATTTCACTCATTAGTTCACTGTTTACACCATTGCTTTATCGCCAAGTATCTTTTGCATTTACTCACCTTTCCCGGTAGAACGTGATGTCACCGATACAATCATAACAGCCAAAATGAACAGGAACACAGTCTTCATAGTTGATGTGTCACTGTGAAAATAAAAAAAAAATCCAATATAGCGGCACCTCCCAATTCAAAGCAGTGTAAAGGGCAACTCCTTTCCCAGCCCCCCCCCCTCCCCACCTTCCTTCCTTATCGAAAAACTCAGCAAAGGGACATACTGTAGCCTTCATAAGCAGAAAGTTTAATCAAGCTGAATATCTACTTTACCCCGATTGAGACCAGTCGCAAAACTATTTTAAGAACAGTAAGACAACTGCAATAAAAGATGTCTTGACCTACCTCAATCGCGCGTCCTTTACCAAGGTTTAAGTACCAAAGTTGAACTTTTCAGCTCAAGAATCACCAAGATCTGTTAAAAAGGGATTTCAAAGCAAATATTAAGTTATAAAATTGAGGTGAACGTCAACTCATAACTATTGCATCAACAGACATGATACACACGCACACATGGGTTACAAACAAGCTTAGCAACTTACCTCAAGTAAAGCTG